CCTATTTTTTATTTTTATAAAAATAAATATGATTCGACTGTGAAATCTTAAATATTCATTATCTAAATAATTAAATGATTTTTAATAACCTATAAATATGATGTAAAAACCCAAAAACCTTTGTAAGCAACCTGCTCAAAATTCGCAAGACATATCGACCTGTAAGAAAGCTTCCATTTCCTCCTTAAATTCGAGGTGAGCTACCAAGTTTTTGCCATATCTGTAATTTACATTTGCCTTTTTCTTGGCCTTTGCGTGGCTCGGACATGGTTAGGTGGCATTCGAAAGCTGACTTGACTTTTAAATTGGTCTTGCCGGAGAAACACAACCGATTGTCGCCGCCCCATGAGGTCCTGTCAGTGGCAGGAGTGACCTTCAGATGCCAACCCCGAAACCATATCAACAAACTAAACCAGAAATGCAACAGTTCAAACAAGAGAGAGCGGGCCAAAAGGTAGTTAGTTAGCCAAAACGAAAACTTTGTGTGCCGCCTAATGCAAGGGTAAACACGCATGCCACGCCCCCTGGAATCAGTTCCGAGGATCAGGACTCCATTTTGGAGAGAGGGGGATGAAAAGGATGATGGGGAGCATAACATTTCGTAATGGAGGCGCAAGTTTCTAATGGCATGATACGAACTACGAGTACGAGTACGACTACGAGTAAGTTCAAATGCAGCCTCGTCTTGCATCAACGCTTCGCATGACTGCCACACAATGCCACACATGTGGAGATTAGTAAGGGGGCGGTGGGTGGTGGGTGGTGAAGGGGGCCTGGAGTCGCCAACGCGTCCTTGAGCGCACTTTTCTGCCACTTGCCTTCTATTTGTAATTTTAACGAGCTTGCCTTTGCTTTTGTTTTTGGTTTTGTTCTCGGTTTTTTCTTCCTCTGAGCTGCTGTTTTGCTATTTTGCTTACTGTGTGTTTGTGCAGCTCGACGAGTGGCGAATGCACTTGTGCAATATTTACAGCAGGCGCTCAAAGGCGCTTTCTTGTCCTGTTTTTGCCAGCCAAATCTTCCGCTTTTCGCGCGTGTCTCAAAAGAAAACGAATTTCCTTCAGCGTTTCCTGGCAGTCTCGGCTGTGCATTTGAAGAAGATTTGATATGGAGCATACACACTCAACCACTAAGACATCAACCAAAAGAAAACTCTCTTTTTTCTCGCCGCCCCCGGCAATTTCCGGCGGAAGCGCGAAAAACTTTTGCAGGTATTTAAGTGGCCTCTCCTGTGCCTTCAAACTTGGCAACATTCCCTAGGCCAACTACTTACTTTGGCCCATTCACCGCATTCAAGATCTTGGCGTCTACTTCGCCTTGCGCCATTCTTCAATGTGCACACTTCCGTTTCCGGCCTTTGGCACCGGGGGAGTTTGGCGGGGGTAGGAAGGGAAGGGCGGCAGAGCAGGCAGAGCGACAGCACCAGCAAAACAAGCAGCTCGAATCCCAAGTATTTTTAATCGTAATAGACGTCCAAGTACAGTTCATTAAAAATTAAATAAAAAAGCAAACTTTCCAAATAACAGGGCGCCAAAAGTTAGGCAACTACATTTACTTTGGGTACCTTTACCAGCAACGTTCTTACAACTTAAAAAATATAAATATTACTGCCTTTAGTTTAGCTTAAAATATTTAATTTTAAATGTTAAACGTTCTAAAAAATTGGAAAATATAGATATATTATTGCCTTAGTCTGAAAACAGCTTTACATTTTTTTTTTTCAAATTTTTTCCCTTTAACAACACGAAGCAAATATAAAGAAAGAGTAGACTCAACATATTTATTTTTAATGTTTTTTTATAAATTAAAAAAAAACATTCATCTCCCTTAGCTGGCAAAATAGTTAGGTATTTATTTTATGGACCTACAAAAATATTATAATTAGAAACACTATCAAATATTTATTTGAAATTCATTCTTTAAAATTAAAGAAATAATCACTTCTTACTCAATATTAAATCCTTAAGTTTTTTTTTACGGATTTACAACTTTTACCAAAATTATATTGTCTTCAGTCTAAAAGCAGACAAAAATAATTTTTTTAAAATTTTTTAAATATTCCCATGAATTACAACAAATAACTAGATCCCCCTTCGGTAGCAAAATAGTTAAGTGTTTATTTTATGGACTTACAACTTTTACCAAAAATAATGTTTAGGCCATAAATTATACAACCAAACTTGGGCTAACCAACACAATTTTCAACTAAGTGCATACACGGATATGTACAGCCAAACGTCCTTAAGTAGGGACTACAGTAATGATTTGCATATGTCTTTCGGCTGTCGGCACATGGCATGAAATACGATTTCGTATTTACTTTTACAGCAAATTGCTTTTAGTGGCTGCGACTTGGACGCGCCTAACAAATTATGTAAGCGTTTTCCATGTCCTCGCTGTGTGGTTGTGGCCTCTGATTTATGTTCGAGAAGCGCTTGAGACTTCCAACGAAATAAACCCGAAAAACCGCAAATCAACCGCAAGTCACCTTCTCACTCATAAGCCAATTTTAATTAAAGCAAAACATTTTGGGAAAGGTGGAATTGCAAGAAGAATGCAATAAACGGCTAGAAATTGGAGGAGAAGAAAATGTGCCATGGAAAATGCGGAATGTGCCATTTGTTGGGTGAAAAGTGAAAGTGGAAAGCGAAAAGCAGGGAACGCAAAGGTATTTAACTATGCAGTCTGCTGACACGGTAAAAAAAGGTGTGTCCTGGGGAAAGGACAAGCAGAGGAAAAGCCAAAATGAATGCAATGAGCCGAAGCCAGAAAATGGCCTTGGCCCTCTAAGCTTTTCCACTTTTCTAGCTATTTGTTATTCATTCAAATTTTGAATTTCCAATGCAAATTAATTGGACTGGCAAATTGTTATGGGGAAGTTAACTTTGTACTATAGCAGTGTATAATTTGCACTGCATAAAAAAGTAAGAGAGTGTAACTCGGTCTACTTAATTAGGACCTCAAAGATTAAATATTTAAAAACTGTATTACAAATTGAAATTTGTAATAACTATTCATTTAAACACATACGCTTTGCCTTTAAGAAACTTTAAAAGCAGGGTGATTATTTACGGTCCCTGTTTAAAACCCATCTTACCTTTAAAATGTGTATTTATTTATTTATTTATTATAAAAATTATAATATTTTAACAATAAAGGAACAAATATGCTATCAAATAAATATTATCAATATATAGCAAACTCTGTTGGCAGTTTAGTGGAATAAATTTATTATTATTTATGTACTGTTTATTAAAATAGTGCTTGTTTTACTTTATACAAAATTTATTTTCACAATTATATATGGTTTCAAATTGGAACTTCCAATAGCCCAAAATTAAATATTCACCTATGATATTACAACATTTGTTAAACGATTCCGCGCCCAAAATGCCATCGATTTTAGGAGAAGACCACGTTTATTTTGTACACTATAGAAAAAGGGAAATAGGGACGCAAATCGATTTTTTGCCCAGTCGCGGGTGGTCATTAAAGGTGTGTTCTATTCTGCTAAGGACAGGTGAGCGTGACCTGGCAAATTACTTAATTAACGCACTTCTCTGACAAAGGCAAACTCGGTCTCCGTCCGTCAAGTTTGGTGAGTATTCCGAATTGTAAAGAGACCAGACCTCGACCTTGTTACTCACAGACGGAATTGTGTGTAAATGCCATTGAGTTTGATGGGATTTTGGTCTAAAACTTGACCTCTTGACCTCGCCGAAAAACAAAGAGCAGAGCTGTTTAAAATGATGGGAAAAATCAATGGAATTCGAGTTCTAATCACAGGCTGTCAATACCTTTTGTGTGCCACACATTGACAGGCCTCCATTAGTGGAATCAAATATGCAGACTTTGCCAATTAGATGAATTTTTGATGTTGCCAACAAATAAGCCATAAAAAGTGTCAACATGTCCTGTAGACAACAGCACACAAGCACCGTATACCGTATCCTATATACCTAGAGCACGTTCGCATTCCGTCGACATGTAAAACAAAAACAAGTTTTCTCCCATAATCTTGATCTACTTTTCATGTACCGCGCAACGAGCTCTTTGGCTTATTATTTATTGGCTTTTTGATAAGCTAAAATGGCCAAGTGAGCGTCTTTCTTTACGACTTTATAATGCCCGCTCTGTTCTGTTCGTCGAGGCACTCGCATAAATCTTACGACTAAAGACTGAGTTGTTTTTTATTTATTTTTTTGCCAGTTTGATTTCTTTGTGACTCCTTCGAGGGCCATAAAACAATTACCAGGACCTGTTTAAAATTGCATTTGCTATTGACAGTGGACAAGCAAGCAGGAAAAGGCAAACAGGACACACAATCACTGAAATGGGTCCCTCGCCCGGATTCTCAGTTTGAAACATTCTGTTTGCCCAAAGCCCTGCGACGATTCTCGCATGTCTGTCAACATATTCCACAAATTTACTCTGCCATTCAATATTGGTGCTTGCTAAACATTTTCAGTCGAGCCGCGATGACTGGAATCCACATTACGCATACGACTAGTGAACAAAGTGGTTAAACTCTACTTTCAACGAATTTCGACAACTTGCCAGCTTTTATTTGTCTAAGGAATCATTTACTAGGGGTTCAATGGAGCATACGTATAGAACTATAAAATACTGCGTATTTCAATCATTTCTAAAGGATTTCTATAACTTTTAGTGTAAATTCTATTTCAAGTTACATATTTTAAACAATGAGTTTTCCAACATGTTATAGAATTAAATACATTTATAAAATATTTACAACCTTTAATAATGGAAGCTATTATAAATTATATTATATATATATTAGATTATATTAAATTCTAATTTGGAATTCCTGTTAAAAATATAAATGATGAAAAAACTACATTTTTTAATAGTTAAACTAAATTCTAATTTTGAAGTCCTATTCAAAATATTAAGGAAAAATATTAACTATATCAAATCACTGTTGGAATTCCCATTGTAGATTATATTGATTGAAAATAGTTTAATAAATCAATTGTACTCACTTCACGTGTGAATTATTTTCATAAATTATGCCATTTGCTGGAGCCATTCGTCGATTTCATTTCCGAGTACTGGTGTTTGTTACAGGTTACTTGAATTATTGAATGCTTTGCAGTTAAACATATGCCTTTCAATGATTATGGACAAACAATTTCACTTTGCACAGACACAAAAACATTAGCTTATTATTTCCCTTTAAGCTGGATTTAAAAATATTTAACTATTTTTAATATATTTAACTTGTAGTAACACACGTATGTAAGTAACTGATGGTTTAGATTATAGACACCAATCGCATGAGATCTGAAAGTATAAAAAAAGGGGAAACATAAATTAGATATGGGAGTTAATATTTTAGTCACATACACCGTACATCCACCCCTGCTAAAACCCTTTATCTAATTTCCCAAAAAGCCATTCCGTGACCTTGCCAAGAGCATTAATAACAATTCTCCTGGTATAATTTGTTGTAAATGCACGCGTAAGAGGCGCTAACCCAAAAGCAACGCCCACTGAACAATTTGATTGCACAATGGCTAGACACCAGCTACGAAAACATTTTGACAGGATACGCTTACTGGGCATGTGTGTGTTTGTGTGAATTGGTATAAAGGCACATAAAGGATAATAAAGGGTTTAGCTACGCATACAAATGACAAAAAATATATATTGGTTCACATGTGTTTGTCTGTACATTTTTCGGAAAAATGTTTCGTGTTGCACAGTGGTAAAGTATCAAAAATATATATCTGTCTGAAATACAAATACTATTTTATCTTGCTCCAAAATAAAAGCTAATATTTCATGGTTTTTGTGTACTTTGGCTATCTACGCACAGAGAAAATTAAGAGAAATAAATACTGAATATTTATTCTGGAATAAATAAAAGAAATTAATCTAAGTAAAGAAAACGTATTTTGCATAAATTTAGCTTGAAATTATTTAGAGCATGTAGATAAATCTAAAGCAACTTTTCAGGCCTGGTAAAACAGAAGTCGTAATATACGACCACTTGAGAACTAACCAAACGAAAACAATTTCCCCTCACGTTATTTCCACATGCTGTTTTGCTGTTAATGTGGCTCTGTGCTCACAAAGGGTCGCCCCTTTTCTTAATAATTTTGTTCTTTTTTGTGCTTAGTTGTGGGAGCAGCTGTACAACAACGAGATTGAGATCCCATTTTTAGGCATTTAATGCACGTTTCAGGCATGTTCACCAATTTTGGAAAATATTATGACATGTGGGTAAAGCCATTTACATAAATATATAAAAAATCTAGCATTAAAAACAGAATTAAGCATGTTCCTTCAAGGATTTTAAAACTGGCGTAAAAACTCTCGAACGAAAGAAAGCGAGCTGCATGTTTACGGTGGCCATAAAGTACGATAATATAAAAATAAATTCAAAGCTGACAATATCGGCGCAATAACGACTCCCTGCATTTACGAGTTGGTTCAGCTGTAAATACGTTCGTAAAATAAAAGAAAATCATTTAAGGTGGTATTACAGTTCAGCGAGTTAAAAGAGTTTATGGCTCTACATTGCACAAAAATTTCAGATAGAACCCATAAAGTTTCTCTCTCAGTTTTCTTTTACTATTTCTCAGTTTCTCATGTGAACTTCCTATTCTACACACAAATATAATATAAGGGACTGCAATATGGTGTGTAAATATTTGTGAATCAAACTACAAAGCTTTTCAACTGCATTTTCTGCTGGGCCAAACGTGATGAATTATTTGTGAACCGTTTAAATTCTCGTCTAACGTTAAATTATTCATTGGAAATATTTAAAAATTTGCGGCTCCCTGGATTAATTAATTTCTCGACTGTAAACGAATAAATTATGGGCCCTGGCTGTATTTCTTTTATTTTTCCAGAAACCTGTGGCCCAAAAACCAACAACAATAAAAGTGCCAGAACCTCACCCACGCAAACGGAAAATGTAGGTCAGCAATGTGAATTGAAAATCAGAATAAAAACAAAAACAAATACCACATACTCAGACCGACACACATGCGGTAGAAAAATTAGTATGTGTGTGTGTGTATTTTGAGCTTTGTCGCAGTGTAAAATCAATTTTCATGAAATGTGCCACGCGTCGTATGAGTAATCAGCGGGGACAAGCCAAACAAACAAAGCCTGGGCACGAACAAAGAGCAAAACGTATGCGTAATTCGTGTATTGACGGCGGTAACATATTGTGGTATAAATCAATTTAGCGCTAATTTCAATAAACCAAACGGGTCCATAAAACACCAATTGATATAATTCGATAAGTAGAAAACATGGCGGTTAAAGACCAGGCCAACTTGTCGACCAGTTTATAGCCCGTAACTATTTTTAGATGACCTTGCTTACTTAGTTAGGCCGTAGTGGCTTAGAAAGTCCAAAAGCTCGCATAACTTATGGCTTATTGATGATAAATCCGTTTTAGAAAATCAATTTATTAGACAAGAATTCAATTCTATTTCAAATTAAGCCCCATTTACTCCGAAGACTAGACTATTATTATCAATCTAAGAGAAAAATCTGCCTTAAAAACATTTAAATAATAGTAATATTATGTATTAAACATTTCAAAACAATATACAACTTTAAGCAATAATAATATATTCCGATAGTACTTTTTTTTAAACAAAATAAATATTTTGAAGTTTTCAATTGAGTTTTAATTAAAGAAGGATCAAAAAAAAACAAGAAAGGAAGCTAGCTTCGGCCAGCCGAAGCTTATATACCCTTGCAGATCATTCCTATTAATTAACAAATCGCAAAAATGTTCAATTTTCTAATATTTCTCATTAATTTTCCGATCGTTCCTATGGCAGCTATATGATATAGTCGTCCGATTTTGATCAAATTAAAATTGAAATTCGGAAATATTTGAAAAGAGTCATATCCTAGAGTAGAAGATAATACAATAAAAACCAAAGAAGCTAGAATTTATTTCCTATTACTTTTCCATTAATTTTCCGATCGTTCCTATGGCAGCTATATGATATAGTCGTCCGATTTTGATAAAATTAAAATTGAAATTCGGAAATATTAAAAAAGAGTCATATCCTAGAGTAGAAGATAATACAATAAAAACCAAAGAAGCTTGAATTTATTTCCTATTACTTTTCCATTAATTTTCCGATCGTTCCTATGGCAGCTATATGATATAGTAGTCCGATTTTTTAAATAATTAATTCGAAATTCAGAAATATTTAAAAAATAACATCCCCAAAAGTAGAAGGTAATATTTCAAAAAACACCGAAGCTAGAATTTTTTAAAGTTTTTTTTTTCCTATTGTTCCTATGGGAGCTATAAGATATAGTTGTCCGATCCGGTCGGCTCCGACATATATACTACCTGCAATAGAAAGAAGACTTTTGCGAAAGTTTTGTCCCGATAGCTCAAAAACTGAGAGACTAGTTTGCGTAGAAACAGACAGACGGACAGACGGACAGACGGACAGACGGACGGACAGACGGACAGACGGACAGACGGACATGGCTAGATCGACTCGTCTTGTGAAGCTGATCAAGAATATATATACTTTATGGGGTCGGAAACGTCTCCTTCACTGCGTTGCAAACTTCTGACTGAAATCATAATACCCTCTGCAAGGGTATAATAACCTTTTTAAAGTAGGGGAGAGTGGGGGAATTTCGTCACAGGGGCAATTTCGTCACCTGCAATATCTCGGAATCCATAAGTCGTAAAAATATATAATTTTTTTGTTTTAGTCCTTCAAGACGGCCAGACACAACCAATGCACTTGTTTTGCACAGAAGGCCAAGATAATTAAGCTATAATATTAAATGTGTTTTAACAGTTCAAAAGCTACATTTAGTTCTCGACGAAATTTTTTCTGTATGCCACAATTCAAAAGGAATAAGATACACGATTTTTTATATAATACACAGTGCTATAATGTGCATTTCTGCGTCAGTGATTTTTAACTTCGCGCCTAATTTCGCAAGAAAAATAATTATTTCTAAAAAAGTACGGTCTGGGGAAATTTCGCCACCCTACGCTAAGGGTAAATTCGCACCTATTTTAAATACATATTTTTATATTTGACGAGCTGGCTAACGAACAGACTACCAGCAGCAGCAACAAATATAGGACGTCAACAAAAATGGTACGCTTGATCAGTGTAGCATATTTTCAGGCGTTAAACTCCCTACATTTTTCAGGTGACGAAATTTCCCCAGTTGTGTGGTGATTTTACCCCCCTGTGTGGTGAGATTGCCCCAGTATATTGGTTTTACATTTTATTTTTTTATAAATCACCAAGCTAATTAAAAAAATAGGGGAATGTCACATTTTAAAGCTTGGTGCTAACCGCATTCAACAATAAAAATAGAAATATGATAACGTGTCTCAAGATGGACAAAAAATAGCTTTGAAAAAATGCTGACGAAATTCCCCCACTCTCCCCTAATAGAATTCTGAAACAATAATATCTATAACCCCTCTTTAGTATTTTATCCACTTAAAAACTAAACCCACCCAAAAGTAGGCAAGTGAAATTTGTTACCTTGTTTGTGAGTTTAGTCGAACATTAATTTCTGGTACGTTTTGTGGTTTTGTTTCAGTATGTTTGCATTTATCTATATAATTGAAGCATTTATGGTTGGAATTTAATTTTCATTGGATGGTAGCTTTTGCTTGTGTTTTCATATCATCAAGACTATGATGATAAAGTAGCAACAACACATGAGAATCTTAAAGTTGGGCAATTTGCGGCCTTTGTGCTTTTGCTTATTTAGCTTGGCCTGCAGCTGCAGTTGAAGTCGGAAGTGCTCGTAGCCCGAATTGGATTTACTGAGGATGACGTTATTCTTTTCACCTTCATGGCCTCCGTCGCTATTGTCACCGAATTTGATGTCGTCGCAGGTTTTTATGCACATCTTCCACGGCTGACCTCTATTCTTCCATTCGGATTATCCGGCGAGAGAATTTATTTGATTACACTTTCACAGTTTCACAATGGCTTTTCCTTGTGCGCTCATTTCCCTTTGCAGTTTATACGCGCAGTTTGTTATCAATGTCAGGGGTTTTCATGGCTGCCCAAACTTTGCCTGTAGCAATTTTCATAAAATATATGAAAAACCAAAGAAGAACTTCAGTTAAAGTTAGTTGATCAAACATTTGCTGGCCAAAAATCCAAGAGGTTAATAAACATAAAACGGAAGCACCAACTCAAACGGGAAGGAAATTCAATGATGGCTCGTTGAGGAAAAACAACAAGAAAAAACCCATTGACTATGGTTAGCAGAAGGAGGCTCTTTGGTTGGACACACAAAGTTTGTGATTTTTTTGGTGGGCAAAATTTGAAACTACATTTGTTTGCTAACCGTAGACATATTGCCAGTATATTAGCTTAACAAGAAAGTTAAAAACGTAGTTAAAATATTGTTAAAAATTCGAACAATTGGGAGAAAAATATAATAATAATATTAATAATAAATAAATAAAATATGCGGAGCCAAAACAAATTTTTTATTCACATTTTTTTTATGTGAAAATAACAATAAATTAATATTCGAACTATATTAATAACATTTTTTTATAAATATTTTTAGACTTGATCTTATTTTAAAGAAAATTGTTTACCAACCATTTTATGTAAATTTTACCCATCATATTCATTTTTGCCTTGAAATGTAATTAAAAATTCAAATAAATCCTTCCTTTATGCATTGATGTTTAGAGAAAGTGTTCTTTACTTATTTTCGGCTGTGTTTCTTGTAAAAGTCCTAAATAGTTATTCCCAAAAACAAGTTTTTAACGTAAAAGTTAAGGACTAAACCTGAATTTCTCCGTTTCCCAAGCAGTTAACTTAATCACGCACCCGTTTTTAACCTACGGAAATGTATGGCGAGGCATAAAACATTTGTTATGGCCAAGGGTGAGGATGCTCAAGGGACTCCTTCGGGCTGAACGGAGACGGAGACGGCAAACGCGTTTAATTCAATCTCATTGGGAAATATCGCACATACGCCACGTGCGCCCGACCGACCGACAGGCCCCACCTGGGCAAAAACTGTGTGAATAATTTTCGCACAAGTTAGCAACTTTCACTTTTCACTTCATTTGACGCGAACTTTTGGCGCTGATATTGTTGCTGCTTTCATGGCCCAGTAGTCGCTGTTCCTTCCACTTTTGGTAAGGCCGTGTGGCAAACGCTTCGCTTGCTGCCGTTTTGTATACTAAAGGACATGGGTTTGCCACTGGATGCCAAGCAGCTGCGTCCTCAGGTCCTGTGGGAAGAAAGCTGACTCTCTCTGGGCTCTCTGGCTCTCCAAATTCTGCGCGCGCAGGAGCCTACGGAGAGTTGCCAACTTGGCCAGTTCCTGGCTTGTTTTTAAACAACAACACAACAGTTGGGAAGTACCCTTATATATAGTATGGTAGTATGTCCAAAGTCATCGTCGTTGGCCATGTTTTCGAGCTGCTCCTGCTGCTGTATTCTGTAAGTTGTATGCTGTTGCTATTTCCCGCTGCACTTAACTTGAACTTTTGGAGCTGGCTTGTCGAAAAGTTGGCAGCGGACAACTTCAAGGCTTTTTCAAAGATTTCACTTCAAGCTGAGACATTCAGGCGTTGGCCTGGCCAAAACACTCCGACATTCTCTCACCCATGAGCACATATATGTATGGAGCTACTACTCCTTAGCCACATCCTTGCGCGGCTCACACGCCCACCAAACGACTTTGAAACAAATTCACGTTGGCCTTTGGCTTTGGCATTGGCCACTCTCATTAAAGCCAGAAGTTATTGTCTTGTTTGGCATACAGAAAGGCATATATGTACATAAGATATACAGCCCATCAAGTTGACTAATTTGATGCTTTCAGCTTAGTGTCTGTCAATGAGTCTATAATGGTGCCCGAATGACTGCTCTAAATGTGGCCTACAACCAAATGCGATTCTGACAAATGTGAGTTTTTATTTGAAAACAGTGAAGAATAATAAATCGACCCGTTTCTTTATATTAGCTAAAAAGATTTCAATTCTTTTTTAATTTCATGTATTTATTGTATTATATCTGTACAGATTTGGTGTGTTTCTTAATACCAACCTATAAGTGTAGAAAATTTTAAAATCGGAGTATTCATTAAAAAATCATGAGCAAATAATGGAATGCAAACAGTGAGAGTAGTCAATTTACTGCTTGCAGTCGACTATAAAGTTCTGTCTTGTTTTTAAAATATTTTTGATAACTTTCGATGCTGAAAGCTAAGTACATAAGCTGGAAAAAAACTTGGACTAAGAATTTTTTGAACTTTATGAGTCATTAAAATCGTTTATATTTTCCCATTAAGCAGTGCAAATTTATTTCGACTTAAATATTTAATTTTAAACTTATTCGCAGTTCACAATAGAAATTTTTGTGGTCTCGTCCTTGAATTCTATCGATATACCCAAACAGATTGTGGTTCGGTTTCGTACGCTTTGGACCAGAGCAATATACATATAGCTGTTTTGCATATCAGCTCGACACTTAGCACTCCCTAAGCCCCCTTATACGCCCCTCCCACCCGTGCATGAGGCTATATGGAATAGAGTCGAGGCTGACTTGGGTATTCAATGAAATTATCATCCAGCAGTGCACGATTCGCCTCGGTACGTGTCGTCGCCTGGATACCCAAGATGGAGCTTTCGAACGTCCTTGTGCCTTGGGATGGTGGGCCATGGAAGTCCTGCTCATCCAGGCCCCAACCCAACGCCCACTTCCTATAACTGGCAATGCCCACGGTCAAGCTGCTTATCTCACACAAAACACTGGTTGCTTTGGCGAAAGAAAGCGACGCGACTTGCCAAACAGGAATTGGAGCAAAAAATCGCAAAAGTGAAATGTCGAAATCTTTTCTATTCAAAGCACAGAAAGAAAAATAGATTCGCAAAAATTATACACAAGTTTATGGCGTGCCAAAATCTTGTAGTTTTTTTTTCCCCTCCCCTCAATTCAATTGTTTGATCCGACTTTGCCTCAACAAGTTTCTCGTTGAGGAACGACTATAGCTATTTGCCTGAGCTAAAGCCTCTAGGTGGAGAGGTCATAAAAGAATTCAGGAAATGGAATTCGCAATACTCTAGGACATGCATAAAAACCGACTAAGGGGTAGGATTTCAGCCGAGGCAGTTAAAAGGCAGTTTTATATTCATTACAAGTCCAGCTGCTTGGCCAGAAAGAACAACAACCAACTGGCAGGATAAATGGCAACAGCAACATCAACAATTTACGACTCCAAACCGAGTAGAACGGGTTTTTTATAGTTACCACAGTTCACCTCACACGAAAGCAACCTTTTTGCTCCTGCCAACGCACACATAGCCACAACCCACACTCACAAAATGGCCGCCAGTAAAAAGCAAAATAAAACAATAAACTCTAACGGATTTTTTATCTTTTAGCCAATATTTACGAACGTAAGTATTTGAAAATAAAGTCTTATTAATCCAAGAATTTTCTTTATAAGATTAATTTATAAATCAAAGTTACTCTCAGTCAAAAAATATGTTTTTGATAATACAAAACCTGTCAAAAGAAATTCGCACTATTGTAGAAGTTGCTACGCATAGCAACAGTAATAATAATAATTGTGCCAAAATATTTTAATTTAAAAAAAAATCAATTGTAAAATTTATAAAGAGGAAATAAAAAATTTAAAATTATATTGCAAATAGCGTAATTATATTGCAGTAACGTAAAAATCTTTACTTGCCAGAGCAGGATATCGCATATTTTTATAGTTTACACAATTTGACATATTTTTAATTGGGAGGGCTCTACATTATTTTTTATATTATTTATTGATGTTTAAAAATTCACATTTTTGGAAGGACTTTTCTAATCTTAAGGAACAGCTGAAAAAAAGACAAAGCCGAATAAATTTGACTGCGACAAAATTTTATGAAACTGAATCGGCAATCTCTATGGCCCCCGTTTTACATGAAATTAGAGTTAGCACAAGTTACTTGAAGATTTAAAAGTTGGAAGTTAAATACAAGGTTCTTAAAACGCTTGAAAAGCATTTGATGAGGAAAATCTAACGGCAGAATAATTGAAGGACGAGTTCGCGCACTACCACACGAGCACACGAATACCTATAGGTATATAAATATATACGTAAATAGAAGTACATGCTGTAGACACACCTAAGGTGAAGCCCCAAGTTGGCTTAGACAACGGCAAAAATATTGCAGTGGCGAATGGCATGAGAACAGCTGAAAAAGTGAAAGTAATGGGCAGGCCGAAACTTTTTCTTTCGCTTAACTAACCTGGCTGAAACTCTACTCCGTTCAGTTCAGCGTTCATCGCAATCTGAAGGACTTTCGGTCCGCAGTTTTTCGTTTCTGCCTTTTGCCTTTGGCAATTGCTTATTTGTTTTGCGCTAAAAATTAAGCGGCCACGAAAAGTTTGCGGGTTTGGTAAATTACTTTACACGCCACTTGAACACGCAGGCAACGAATAAACAAAGCAGCCAACCAACGAACATGGGGCAAACACATTTAATTAAATTAAAAATAATAGATAAAGCTGAAGAAAAGAATAGAAACTTCAAGTAAACTAAATTGTTAAAACTTTGGGTTTAAGTAACAGAGAGCCTCTCTAAAGAGACTAGTTACTAGTTAAAGACTATTTTTTTACTCACTAAAAACGATTGAATAAATACAATTAATATAGAGTAAAAAAATTAAATTGCTACCACCATTTAGCCAACTCAGGGTCTTGTCAATTTTCACAATTTCCCCCTCTGACATCAGTTGATGTTGGCAGCAACCCATCAATTATAATAACGATTGCCTTTCAATGGGAATAAGTGATTGTTATCAGATACCGAGCACAGCAATTACTCTGCACACAAACTACGGCCCAATGATAAGTGGCCAACTTATTCAAGGAATAGCTCAAATAAAACAGGATACAGAAAGGAAAAAAGTGGATAAATTGGTTGAAGGCAAGCGAGTTGGCCGCACTTTATCGGGCAATTTCTGGCTGTTTGCCATTAAAGTGCCACGCATAAACGAAGCTGCCTGATAAGAGATACATTTTTTTACATACTTTCGTTTTAAGTTACAGGCGACGACGGCCACAACAACAAGACGAGTGATTTAGGTTTTTTGCACTAGACACGCACGTTGACATTCAATTTAATTAAATGTGGTTTGATTGAATATGTTTAACAGATTTATATATTTTAATCGGCGACACACACTATTCAAGCTCTTTAAAACTGGTATTTTCGTATTTTTGGTTTCGGAAATGATTAATATATATTTACATTTATCTGTTCGCTTTATATTTTGGGTATTTAATTTTGCTACTGTTGCTGTTTGTTGCTTTGGGGAAATTCTTCTGTATATTTTTTGGTTTTTGCTTGAAGGTGCTGTTGGTGTGTTAACGAAATGAGGAAAGATTGTCTACTGAGTGTGCGAAACGATGGCGAGTCCCGTCGAACCCAAGGAGAGTTGCCTTCGCCGTACCACGGCGCGTATGTGTGATATGCGTTTCGTTTTGTTTTAGGAAAGTGCGCGCGCAAAATGCCAAACAGCTGTGCTGTCTCAGCTGCTGTTAGAAGAGAAAAAAGAGAGAGAGCGAGAGAGCTGGAGAAATACCTGCAGAAAGTTTTCTCTGAGGCGCACGCTCACTGCCGGAAAGGGGAGGTGGAGAATAGTGGGTGCTAAAGTGAAAGTAGCCTTGTTGATTAACATCCTTCAGAGTTTACCCACATTGGAAAGGTCGCCAATTTCACTGATAATAACATTCGTCCATGCTGGCAATGCCGTCACAGCTGTTGCGAGAGCGAAGCGGAAACGGAAAGAGCGCACCGGAAGTGACTTGGCCAAGTGGCATTTCCCCAAACAAATTCAAAAGGCCAACAAATATTCATATTAGCCACAAATGGCGAAGGAAAAGCTTTTTTATTTCATAATTAATATTGCAGAAAAGTTACAATTAGCAAAAAGCTGAAATCTTGTGAACTTAGAAGCGATTTCTAATGTCAACTGTGTTTAAAAATACATGTGCTGCCTTGAAAAATTTAAAAAAAGCTATACGCTTACCCATAAATTAAGTAAAGTTTCTAATAAAAAAAATTTATTTTGTTAATTGCTAAAGCGTTTTACTCTTATGAACGTATATGAGAATGGTTCATTCTAGTAGTACTAGCTTTTGAGAAACTGTAACTCAAACCAGATACGTGACAGAATATCGCGAGCATTAGCTATCTGAGAAGTTCCGTTTGTCAAATCGAAATTAATAAAGCTACATTTACAAGACTATTTCTACGCCGAACACGAAGCCCCAGCAACCGGGAAAAATGACAAAGCGAAAGTATAAACTATCGATGCACTATATAACCCAGCGAAGTCAGAAACTTAGCAGCACTCAGCGAAAATGGGCGAAATGTGGAACAAACCGTATATGGGAATAATAATATCTTTTATGTTGGCCAGCTGTGGAATGGCCATACCGACCGAGTTGACCAGATACTCACAGTTGGGGTAATTATTTCTATATGTAACCTATTTAATATTATAAATATATTAATATTGGTTTTTTCACTAGACAAGGTCCCTTAACGGAGGCCAATAACAGCGTAGTGAGCACCACCAATCAACTGGGTTTGCAAGCGGACACATCGTCTGTAGCTCCGGACTTTGAATACGCCCTTCTGGGTGAGGATCCCCAGGATCAGCAGTGGTTTCGTGTCAGCCTCACACCGAAAACCAACAAAACGGGCTACCGGGCACAGTTCGCCACCCGGAAGCATCCGCCCTTCGATTCGCAGGTTGCCCATCGTCATGATAAGACCATTCAGGATCTGCTCAACTGGCTGGACCGTTCCGAGGATCAGAGTCTGTGGAAAGTTTATCGTGATCTTTTGGCCTACACACCGCAGGCAGAGTCATCGCAGGAGTTCGAGCCTCATGGCAACGAAATTGAGAAAGAGGAAAAGGTGCCGAGGAAGCAGGGATGCCCGAGGCACAATCATCGGCTGCTCCTCGTCGGAGATGAGGGCACCAGCACTACAAAATTACCACCAACAAGCAAAAGTCAACGGCAATCGGAAAGCAACATGGTCTATTTTATAAAGGGGCTTAAGTGACCACTAAAAGTTGTACCTCCAAAAAGCTAAAATATAAATTCAAATATTTTAATTTATTAATTTAAATATTTAAAACTAAATGTCGCAGCAAATTTTAATTTGTAAATGTAATGTAAATCATACATCTTATTTATAAATATATCTTTTTAACTAAAAGAAACTGGTAATTTCAGATTATTTTGAAAATGTGCAACTGCGGATTAATAAATTTTTATAAATTAATTACTCAAATTTTAAAATATGAAAAAAGCACTTTATAAAAGAAAAAAATTGATTTAAAGTAAAACTCTATTATTATCATGTAATTTAAATTAAAAGGGTTCCTGAGCTTTTGTTGCAAATAGCTTTCGCCAAATTCACCTAATTCCTGAAACTTTCACCATATTTTCTCTTATACAAAAATTAAAACTTTTATAAAGTGCTAGGCCTGTTTGTAGAACTTTTAAAAAAAACTGTTTGATAAGCGAAATGTAGACAACTGAAATGGGGTCTTGACAAAGAATTGTCGGCCCAGTTAGCTGACACTTGCTGCTCCACTTTGTTGCTTGTTGGGTTCAGAAAAAAGGGGGGCAAAATAAAGTCAAGAGCAGAGCAAAAAACATTGAGCTTGACCTGAACTTTGGCGAATGATTATTGCTTGGACTCATGCTCATCCCTGTTGGCCCGTTCCAGGCGGCTGTCCTCCAATTCGTAGGCCGCCCGGTAGGTCATCTTGTCCAGCTTCTCGTCGTAAACCATCAGACTGGGATTCACATGCGTTGATCTGCGATCCCCTAGCGATGTGTATCCCTGATCGTAGAGGCAGCAATAGGGCAGATCATTAACCCTTATATATCTCCAAATGTCGTGGTAGCTCCAATCGAGCAGCGGGAAGATTCGCATCATCGGTGGCCATCCATTGTCGCTGGGTAGCATCTCACCTAGATTCAAACCCCCAGGATCGCTGCGTCGACAGCCGAGAAACATTGCCTGCACCTGGGGATTCTCGGCCAAAAGCCGTTCGAAGGCCATCCTGAGGTCTCCCTCGAAGCGCCGCAATTGTAGTCCATACCGCTGAGCACAATCGTCGACAAACTTTTCCAGTTCCTCGAAAGGATCTGGGCAGCTAACGTATACCGCTCCCAGTGGCATCGATGGAGGCTTCACTTTTGCCAAAATATCCAGCAAGACCGTGCAATCCTTGCCGCCATTGAAGCACAGCATAATTTCGTTTGGCTTATACAGAGTCATTGCGCGTTTTATCAACTCTCCAGAGTGCTTAAGTTTTTCCCTCAATTGGTCATTCAGACTTTTCACTTCAACTGGTGGAACATGCAAGCGACGAGTTTCTAGCTGATTATACCACACTCTTTGCCAAACTCGAGGCGGCAATTTCATTTTAACAAGCATAACAGAATCTTCTCTTTATCGGCGTATTATATGCCACACGAAATTTCATTTGGGTTTTAAAATAAATGAAAGCATTATCATTGCATAACTGCTATTTTGTAATATTATATAAGTTAAAAAGAAAAGAAAATAGAGGGGAAACAAATACGTTTTGCATAATATTTTCTTTCTTTTATAAAAATTATTATATCATAACTTAAAAAAAAAATGTAATCTAGCTAAACTGAAATACATTTTAAAATACAAATTATAGTTTTCTGAGTGTCTTTAATCTTTGTTTTGATATATAGTTATTAATAATAACTTATTATATTATTTTATAATATTTAGGGCCGTTTTCTCGTCCGTTTGTTAAATTTAAAGTAGGGTTAAAACAATGATATTCCATCACATTTCAAAGTTTTAACCCTACTTTAAATTTAACAAACGGACGAGAAAACAGTCCTTAATGTAATAAATATAATAATTAAATAAAATAAGTTCTTTAAATTTCTATAATTACTTTGGATTTAGCAAACTGAGATCTGCTCATATATTTCATATTAAGATTGAAGAATGCAACCTAAGCTCACCCACTTAAAAGTTCTTAAAGAACTTGTGGAAAAAGTTTATGGAAGAAGATTGTTGCTAAGCAAATCAATTTTGTGCTATGCAATGCATTTTGGGCCCTTTCCGAGAAAATTGTAAATTATGGAATTCCATTTAAGTCATGGCAATAAATAATATTAGCTCTTGCTACTTTATTACCTTTTACAATTTTTTTGTAATATTTTGTAATTTCTTATAGTTTAAGGCATTTAACATTATAACCTTAAAACATCACTAATATTTTAGATTATACAGTCGAAAATGTAGAATATTATTTTTTTTTTAAATATATAATGCTTATTCACTTTACTTATTTGCTTATTTATTTAATTATTTAATTTTTTGCATTCTATCAAAGTTTTGTTTCCGTTACTTTCATAATTGATAATTCATGAAATTGGCATGGCACACGACAATTTGTTTACTCAACAAGTTCAGTGGCCCAAAAAAAGCAGAGGAAATGTTTGTTCTTTTCGCTTTCTGTTGGCCATGCAGAAAAAGCCCCACACACGTCGACTTCGACTTCGAGGGGTCGTTGGGTAAACGGCAAAACTTGGTCATTGCTTGCCTCTGCAGTTTTGATAGCACAGCGCACGGGTATATAAAGCCCAAGTGGCGAAGGCAGAAGCATCGCAGTCTGCTACCAACCAGTCTAAGAAATCACCAACCACCAAGCAACATGAAGTGCATCGCCATCATCTCCACCATCTGCCTGCTGGCCGCTTTCGTTGCCGCCGATAAGGAGGAAAAGATGCTCGGCTCGTCCTACGGCGGTGGCTACGGCAAGCCCGCCGCTGCTCCCGCTCCTCAGGCCTACGCTGCTCCTGCTGCTCCCGCTCCCCAGGCCTACGCTGCCCCGGCTCCATCCTACGCTCCGGCCTCGATCCCGGCTCCTCCCTGCCCCAAGAACTACCTGTTCAGCTGCCAGCCCAACCTGGCCCCAGTGCCATGCAGCGCCCCAGCTCCCAGCTACGGATCCGCCGGTGCCTACTCGCAGTACGCCCCCGTCTACGCCCCTCAGCCCATCCAGTGGTAAACTAAGCCACAGGAGCCACTGAACCCAAGGAACAACAGCTACATTGCAAGAAAAAAATAATAAAAAAAATATTTATGATCAATCGTAATACTTCATTTGTTTAAATTTCTTTCTTGGAGGGTATAGGGAAATAAGCTTTGCATAATAAGCTTTAATAACAAATGCTTATCTTTGGGGAAGCCTTTCTAAATTAGTCAGCATATCATGGTAATACCAGGCATATCAGCATAGTTTTTGAATACCAGGTGCACTGCCTACTTTTAATATTTAATCAATAATTTTAACACACAGAAACTAGCTCGGTTTTTCCAAAAGTAAAGTAGCATACAATTTTTTAGGCAAGTTTGTCTTTAATTGCAATCTTTTAATTAACACATTCGTAGTTAATAAATTTCCATAAAAAAAGAACAATAAACGTTAACAAACTTTATATCTTATGTTTTAAAGTCGCTGAATGAGACAGCCGAAGCACTTGGAATCAGCTTACTATAAAGCTATAGCTACATGAGTTGTTTACAAAATGAAATTAGAGTGAACTAATAACGAACTAATAATGGCAAATGTTTTAAAATGTGAAGACATCCAAATTAGTTAAATTCGTTTTGCTCGGGATAAAAAGAGAAGTCAAACCAATCATTTTTGTTGAGTTAAAAAAGAATGATTGACCTATTCTTAATAATCTTCCGGATCAACTTCATCATCAAAGAATCGCGCCGCCTGTAACTGTTTTCTTATGGCTCCCACTTGGGTAAGGATTTTAGGCGATGATGTTGAAACGGTGAACTTTTGCACGGCAGGCACCTGGTAAGAATGGTTAGTAAGTAGTTCATTAGATTAAATGTTATATTTCATAACTAATCCACTTACCTCCCAGCGCTTTTTTAGGTTGTCAATCTTGCGCTGACCGTTTTCAGCCAAGGGTGCGCCCGTCTCCTGCCGCGTCATTTTGGGCATCTCGCGCAGCAGAGGCATCGAAAGATTGTGACCAGCCGCCTCCCTGAGGACAACATCCCTTCTGGCCAATGACTGGGGTGTCGTTTGAGTGCCCCGATGACGGGAATCGCTCTTGCTTCTGTGCACCTTCTGGTGCTGCTTGGTGGCCAGATCGCCGTAGTTCTTGAGGTAGCGGGACAAGCGCTGATCCGTTTGACGTCGCACCCGCTCCACAGCCTGCTCGTCGGCGCTGTCTAGCTCGAAACTGGTGTTGGCACTCCCCGAGGTCGTCGGCAGTTGTTCGAGGATGGACGGTTTAACAGGCGTAGGCTTATAATCGGCATGGAATACCGAGTTGCGCGATATGTTAACGGAGTACGGAGGCGAGACATCGGCTTGATTACTGTCCGTGGAATCCTTGGCCGGCGGAACAGCATAGTTTAGTTCCAGGACTTGAAAGGCGTTGTTTGAAGGCTCCCTAATGGTTTCCTTGTCATTAATATGCGTGCGCTCGGTGTCCCTGCCGCAAGCAACCTCCTCGAGGCAAAAGGAGCACAGATTGCGGCGACAGTTCATGCAGACATTGCGCTCACGCTGGCACGCCCGACAGACATCGCTTTTGGCCAGGCACTGGGTGCACATGGCATACAGGCGCTCACACTTGTGACACACCAAAGCGTAGCTGCTCTGGCAGTTATGGTCTGCTTCCTCCTCCCGTCCATCATCACGGTCCTCGGCCTCCTCCTTGCCCTCCTCTGGGTCTTCTCCTGGAATCTCTCCACTTTCTCCATTTCGCTTGGGCTTTTCCTTTTGCTTGAGCTTCAGGGCCAGTTTCCGCTGGCATCGCAGACAGCAGCTTTCGTAGCTCTTCAAAGGCTCATCACAGAGCGGACATATTTTATCGCAGAGATGGAAGCACTCGCGCTCGATCTTAGCCATTTGAGGCACCTCAAAGTCCAGCTCAACGGCCGGCGGCAGAGGCTGGCCACGTCTGTACTCGTGATGGGCCGAGTTACTGAAGTACTTGTACACCCGGTTGGCGTTGCCTTCAGTGCTGATATTACTGGCGTTGTTGTTCCTGCCTTTAAGACGCGTTGTCCTTGGCGTTTCGGCTAAATTGTTCGTCTCCTTAACGTGCAGCAACTGTGCATCCTGTTCCAGCTTGGCCAACAACTGTTCACGCATCAAGCGGTTCTGATCCGAGTCGATGCGAGCCTGCCAGCAAAGTGAACGAAAGTAGGAGAAATTTTATTCAATTACCAAAACCAAGCTGTATTGCAATTAACTTTCATGCGATGTGGATAAACGAAATCAGAGGTCCTAATACTCCTATCAATTACTATTAATTTTCTCTGTTGTGTCATTTATTTTGGTGCTAAAGATTGTGAATCTAATGGCAAAACCAATCAATGACAATTACTTCTAATCGAGTTTTGGGATATGTAATCGCATTCTAGTTGTATAAATAAACCCAAGGTCCTGCCGAAGGCTACTTAACAATGCGTTCGATAAAAAACTGAGTTCGATTGGTTGCCAAAAACGAATATAAATATATCCAGTAAATATACAAATCTTGAGCTAAAATTGAAAATGATTTAATTTTAAATGTAATTTTGATTTTTATTGATTAGGTTACTTATGACATTCATTATAAAGATGCATTATTAAAAAATTCGCCTTTAAAGGGCCATTTTCTCATCCGCCTGTTAAATTTAATGGAAGCTTTAACTTTGATTTTTTATACGATTTAAAGATTGTATTTAAATTTAACAAACGAGCGAGAAAACGGCACTAAAACTAACAGTTTTTGCTAATTTAGAGCTTGAAAATAATATTTATGAGTGCCTTGTCCATATGAAATCAAAACTTTTATACAATCACAAATAATATTTACCCTTTCAGCTCGCAGACGCTCCTTTTCCAACTGCTCCTCCAACTGTATTGTCTTTAATTGTGCCTCCAGTCGCCTGTTGGTAAATATCGTTTAGTTATAGATTACGAAATATAATTATTTATTCAATCAATTATATACCTCGTCAACGCCTCCTCCTGACGTCGCTCTTTTTCCCTTATCAATTCTATGGAGCGGCGTTTCTCATCGATTTGCTGCATCAAATCCCGCTGGTAATCCTTTTTGCGAGCTGTTTCCAGCTCGGCACTTCGCAGATTGCGCTCCATAACACCATCCCCGGTTACAATATTCGAGAGCTCCACATGTCCCAGATCCTGGAGGAGTTTTTGACGTGTTGTCGTGCCTGGCCGAATCTTGGGCGGCACATAGTTGGGATTACTATTTACAATTAACTCTATGTCAGTCTTATCCGTTGTGCTGTGGTTCGAGGTGCTTGTGCTGGATTGGCTGGAGCGGGTTTGTGCCGGAACCGCAGCGGCCTGGGATGCCTTCCTCACTTGTCCCGGTCGCTGATGCTTGGTGACCGGCGGATGGAGCATCTACAAGGGAGTACACGAACAAAAGAAACATTTATTGTAAGCTCATAAATCTAACACTCCTTAGCATGACGAATGCTTGCACCTAATAAAAATATTTGTTTATGGTAATATCGAAACGCTCACCTGGTGCTTGAGAAAGTTCTGCTGGTTCTCGCGCTGTCGCTCACGCAAATAATTCTGCCTCTTCTGATTTTCATTGTTAAAGCCGGGAAAGTACGAATAAAATGTGTCCGTAACCCATTGCTCCATATCATCCTGCGTGCGAGAGAGAAAACGAATGTGAGTGGCTAACTTGTCGTTCTAACTTGTGAGGGGGTAAGTATATATTTTCATATATTCCTTATCGGACGCTTTCTTTTTCTAACTCCCCGTGTTCCTAGTCCGTTCGGCGACACTAACCACCAGCAAGAAGCTTGTATACATTTTTATATGTGGCGAGGGCCACAAATTATTGTGGCTCCTTTCGTTCTCCGTCTGGTTTTTGGGTCAGCAGCACCAGCACTTCAGCAGGAGCTGCTCCAGCGAACACTCCACAATGCCTACTGCCATTTTTGCACATAATTTTTATGCCGTCGACCGAGCAAATCGCGTGCACCGATGGCATCAACAAAATTATATATAATCCAAACAGCAAAACGGAGACAAGGGGTAGACTAAGCTATTACCTAGTTAAACTAAGACTGAGTATTTAAAATATAAACATTATAGTATTAAAATAATTTACCTAAAATTCCCCTATATTTTAGAAGTAGATATACATGTTTAGATTTCTAAACTACCTTTTGAAATGCGTTGCACCTACTATATATTTGCTAAAATTTTTTAGGTATATTATTTCGATATTTCAAGGTAAGTTAAGATCATTTTTAACTATTTTAAATTATTTCTTAAGTTATTACTTTTGCTATCCATTGATCCTTCTGCCTCAAATGCTCATTTCCGTGAAGGGTAACAAAAATAATAACATAAAGGACGAGACGCTTCGTAAAACGACTGAAGGTGCCTTCAGCACTCGGTTGAGACGTTTCTCAACGCCACTTTATCAACAAGACCCAGCTGTTTCAGCCCACTGCTGTTTTAGCCAGTCGAAAGGGAACCTGCACTTCAATTTATTAGCTGCATGCATTACGCTTCGCTCGCTATTAGCCCTGATGATGTGCGCCTTAATTAAAGTACGTTTTAACGTTTTCATCATTTCTGGTGAGTGGAGTGGCTGAATAGACCGAGGATATCCGAGTTACGTTTCTGCTTTGCATAATTAAGAGCAATTTCAGCCTGTGATAGTTAATACTTGGCAAAGTGTTCACAGGATCCGCAAAGAAAGTTGAAAAAGCAATAGCTTTTGCAGTAATTCAGGTCAAGGAAACTATCAAAATGAAGACTGCAAATCAGAAGAGCAAGTGGTGGCACACGGAGGGATCTGAATTACGGTTCATCTCAGGTGGGGGTAAATAGGGTGGCTAGTCTGGGTTCCGTTTTTGCCTGAGCTATTAACCAAAGTCAAGTCAAGAGCCCAAAAACAGTGGGCAAAGACAGTGGGCAAAAACAGTGGGCAAGATTTAATATAAAAAATTAAATTGAAATTAACAAAGAAAATAGTCTCTGGAATAGATTTCTTATTATCTAGACTACTCTAAAAAATTCTTGGAAAAGCAAAAATAACCCAGAACGGATTAAGATAAAAATCTAAAAAACAAATATAAATTCGGAAATAATTGTTTAAAAAAAGTTAAAAATTAATATTTGTCTTTTTAACAATTTTGATTAGATATATTATTTTATTATTGGTATTATATATTTTTTTAAAGTTTAGTTACCCACTGTTGGGCCGTCACTTTAACGACTCTGTTTACTACGTCCATTCATCGGATTTGATTGCGTGCCGCATTGAAATTGGGTTAACTAAGTGCCAGCTAGTTGGTGTACGAAAAGTGCGAAACCTAATGAAAATGCGTGTGAAAGCTGAACGGGATTGGATGTGGATGCCTTTGTTGTCGCCACGCATCGCTGTAAGTTCAAGGGCATTCAGGGGAATTTAAAGTGGGGCTGACGAACCTCTATTGAAAGTACAAGTATTTCGAATGCTTCGACAGTCGGGTGACCTCAATTTACCCTAAACTACGTCATAGCGATTAGTTCGACCATCCCTAACAAGAATTTTAATTACCACTTGTCTGTCCACGGCCTTGTCCAGGTCATGACTTTCGTTCACAGTATATTTGTAAAGCTCAATTGGTGTTGGAGTTTCCGTGTTTGGTTTAACTTTTATAGCGAATGGCTACCCATGTATATACAAAAATAGCACGGTTCTAAAATAAATATGTAAATGTTGGTTACAATTTAGTAGTTTTTAAATTTATGGCCAGAAAGAAAAGAACTTTTATATCAATTATCATTAGCCATTAATAAAAACCATCATTGGGCGGAGTTGACAGAAGGGCGTGTCTCCAGCAAATGTAGATTGTGCACTTTCACGCCAATAAACATTAAGTGAGGAAGTGAGTCGACAAAACGGAGAGTCTTTTAGGTCCATACACAAACATTTAGATTTCTAATATAATTTATATTTGGTAAGGATAAAAGTTGTTTAGGAAACGTGGCAGCATTTTCTAATTAAATACATAGTATATCAAAATTAAATTGAATTTTAGCTGGACAATTGATTGATTGACAATTATTTTTAAACTTCCTCGGGGTTAACTGAACCCTTTAGAAAACGTTCAATATTTGCTTTACGTCACTTTGATTTTTGGGTTAACTTGTGGCGCTTGCCGGTTCGCCAAATGAAGTCAATTAGACCTTTAGGCCTCTTTCATCGCGTTCCGTTCGCTGGTTTCGATTTGTCGGCAATCAGGGGCACGCCTCACCTCATAAAGCTGTATATTTTGTGGGTATATAGTATAGAGTACCGAATGGGCACTTGGTAATTTCAAGTTCAGGCCAACAAAAGGCAGCGCAACAAACGAGCTTCGAATTACAACTGAGAGCGGTGCCAGCAAATTCATTAAGCGAATGGCTGCTCGTTCACACAGAGCCGGAATGGCTGGTAACTGGAGCACGGAATCGACTTACTACAGTAAAAAAACCAACAGTAGCTAATACAAACGGGCCATGCAACATTGATAGCGGAAGGAAACGAGGCCACACTCAAAACGCAACAAAACACACGGACCAGTCGAAAGAAATAATGTGAATAATTAAAATGCCAAACTAATTTGGCTGTTCTATAATCCACACACTCACGGTAGGGTGCAAAACTAATAGGCTATGCAATCTAAACGGTGGGGTGACCGATGAACTAGCCATTATTTACTAGACCTGCGAGACTCAAGCATATAAATAATGCAAATGGAAAAGTAAAATCGGTAGAGCTACCTCATCCAATCCTAAGGCGCGTTAAATATTTCTAACTTTTCTAATTGAAAATTCAGTGTACATATATACTTTTCTAATTGCAAATGCATATAGTATGATTTTTTAAAAAAATTAAGAAAAGTACTAGGTACGCATACCACAACTAAGGCTTTCGATATCTCTGGAACACAAATAAGAGCTAAGATCACTGTGAAATCTTAGGTACAACTGATGGGAAAATTCCAAAAGAGTTTGGGAAATGCTAGAAAATACATGGGGAACGCAACGAGGCGTAGAGAAACCAATTTCGCACAAATATTCCATAAATATGGCCAGTCGCCTGACAAATTGGCGAAACGGTGCGGTAAGAATCACCAGTGAAGCGCAACGCACATTCTAGAGCTCGATCTCTGAAACGGATTCACTGGATCTGCACAGGAAAAAAAATGCCGATATAAATATAATAGTATTATATCAACAATTAAGCAGGGGAAATAAATATGAATAGTCTTAAATCAAAAAGGTAAAAACTATTTATCTGAGATAGGGCTATATACATTGTCTTTTAAGATAGTATCCGATATTAAAAACCTATTTAATTGATCTTATTTTACATAAATATTTCTTTCTGGGTTTGATAATAAATTTAAATCGAGGTGATAGGTTTTTAGATATTAGTTTAATATTATAAAATCGAAAGGAGCAGGAGGAAATAAATACTTACATTTTTCAAACTTTTACAATAAAGCGAAAATTCAAAAACTATTTATCTAAGATAAATTGTTGTACCGATGGTTGTTTAAGAAATAATGACAATTTTTAAAATATACCAACATTTTGGTAGTATTCGATATGAAAAACCTATTAGATTGATCTTATTTTACCTACATATTTCATTCCGGATACGATAATAAATTGAAATCTAGAAGATAGCTAAGAACTAATTTTGAGATATCATTAAACTCGTACAAATTAATAATTTATTATCGTAGCACTTAGATTTTTCTCGCAGTGCACTTACCGACCGACGGATTGGCAAGCGGTTCTCACTGAGCGGCCGCTCGTTCTCCAAATTGCGCCGCACCGACGCATCTGGCGACTTGTACTGACGAGCGCTGCCGACGAGCAGCTGGCGCTGATTCGCGAGTTCCTTGGTGGATTTCGTGGGGTTGGCAGGCACCTCCTCCGCAAGCTCCTCCTCCTCCCCCTCCAACTGCAAGTCCAAGTGAAGTTCTTCGTTTTGGCCGCCGGTTGCCAAGGAAGACGATGGTGTGGCGGCGGGTTCATTGGACTCCGTGGACTCCTTAAACTCCTTGGCCCTGCGACATTGCACTTTGAAGTCCGGTGATTTCATTAGCTGGGCGGCGGGACAAGGATTTTGGGTGGCCAGGCGCTGGCGCTCCTTTTGCAGTTGCTGGCGTTCCAGGGAAAGGAACTGTTGCAGGTCCATCTCTGCGGAACCAAAGGAATTGTTATAATGGAACCCCACATAAATCAGCCAATTGTGCAAATCAGTAAACTCACCATATTGCCAAGTCCTCCAATTCGTTTTTGGGCATTCAATGCCAACGCAACGAAGCTTGTTCTATTATTTGCGCACTATTTAATTGAGTAAATCACGCTTCACTTTCGAAAAAGTTGAATATTTACGCGGAATTCAATGTGACCGCATCTGGGCTACCTGTTACTTCTCGCACGGGACTTACTAACGCGTAAAGGAACTACACCAAGAAATGGTCACCCTACTGCAGCAGTGTTGAAAAGTGACTAACCGGAAACTGTTAACTCACTGTTAACTAATAAATTTAAAGTTATAAATTAAATTTAATGAAGGTGTAAATTATAATTATAGTAAGAAGGTAACATTTAAATATTGGAAGATCTTTATAAACATTTAAATTTTGTGAGTTCGCTTTATTATAAAAATGGTTACGCCAATCCTTAAATTCTTCTTTTTAAATGCTATTAGGGGAGGTCACAGAAATGAATAAAATTACTAACGAAAAACAAACCATAATTTTTATGTTTGTATTTCATTAAATCCCATGAACTTCAATCGGCTATTCCGAGACAAATCAGTCAGATATATTAGTATATCTCTTTGCTCGGATCGATTACTGTTTATAGATTTCTTTAGGAAAGGAAATCATACCCATAAAATTTAGTTTGTTTATTTTCTTGTGACGAACACTCAAGGCGAAACCAAAATCCGCATACATTTTAGACATTCCTACCGCATCGACTTAGATATTTTTCCAACACAAGGATTCTTATATATCAAATTTCATACATCACTAACCCTCCATCGCGATGGGCACCTTGGGCAACCAGTTCATCCTGTCGCGGGAGCGTCGTCGCTTCGGTCGCCAGTGCCTCTTCACGGACCGCAACGAGATGATCCTGAGTGTGCAGCCCAGTGGCCGTCTGCGGCTCAAGTACATCCTGCGCAATCCGATACACGAGAAGACCCAGCTCAGCGAGCAATATGCCGTGTCTTCCGTATTAACCCACAATGTGACCTTGGATTCGCGCGGAATGAATCACTTTGAGGGCGGTTGGAATGTCAAGGAGGTGAATGTTGCCGACGAGGAGTCCACTCTGCGCTATCGCAAGAAGGTGGAGCGTGACGACTCCTGGGGCGTCGAGGTGAACAAGCTGATGCACGACGTCATACAGATCAGTTCGGCCAATAATGCAATTAATATCTATGAAGATTTCTTTTTGGATTTGCCCGAGGATCTGGGTAAGGGGATTAGCATGAAAATAGCGGCCCGTGGAACCCACGTTTTTCATGACCTCTGGATTCCATCGCGTCGGTTGCTTATGTGCGAATGGTTGAACTCGGATCCCTCGCAGTTTCTACTGACTTTCTCCAACCGCAAGAGTTTGGAACCGGACTATAAGAAACAACTGAATACTTTGCCTGACTTTGGTAATGATAATCCCAACTCGTTCTTCATCTGGAACCTGGACGATGCCACCCGACCGGTGGCCTTTTACGATTCGGAAAGAGTCCTGACCATTGGCAAAATGTGCATGCGGGATGAGAGCTACATGGTGGGTGGCTTCCAGGAGGGTCAGGTGGGCTTCTGGCTAACGGAGAGCATGGGCGGACCGAAGAGGGTGTGCCCCCTGGAGGCGTGCCATCGCGAGGCGACCTCTGCCCTCTGCTGGGTTCACTCCAAACTCAACACCGAGTTCTATTCGGGATCGCTAGATGGTTCGGTGAAGTACTGGGATACCAGGGATCTGCTGATGCCCGTGAATGAGGTCCTGGCTGAACCGAATCCCCAGCAAGTGCAGAATCGGCAGGATGCACATGGTGTGACTGTCCTGGAATTCGAGTACACCATCCCAGTTCGCTATATCTTCTGCACCGATATGGGCTGCGTTTTTGTTGGGAATCGCAAGGGACTCACCCCACAGGAGACCATCGTTGGGGTCTATAAACTATTCGCCGGTCCCATTCGCTGTGTGATGCGGAATCCTTTCTTCGTGAAGAACTTCCTCATCGTTGGAGATTGGAGGGTTCGCATTTGGTCGGAGGAGGTGAAGAATTGCCCTAGTACCTTCTATTTTCGTCGGCCCAATCAGGTGATCAGTGGAGCCTGGAGCACCGGTCGCTGTTCGTTGTTCTGCATCGGTGACGATAAGGGCAATCTGGAGTTCTGGGACCTCCTCATGTCGCACAAGCGTCCCATCATGACCATCAAATACAAGCATAATGTAACACATTTGGTCTTCAAACCCGATGGTTCCATGCTCGCCGTGAGTCTGTCGAATGGCGATGTTTTCATGCTCCGACTGGAGGAGGGAATGCGAAGTGCCACCGTGAAGGAGAAGTCACTCATGATGTCGGTGGGTGATCTTCGTCACACTCAGAAAAAAAAGTTCCTTAATTTAAGTCCATTGGCTAAAATGGCTAACCAGTTTATATGTGGACTTACAAATTTTCATCCCATATAAATTTTAAGTCTAAATAGATTTCAAATGGACCTAAGGCCATATGGACTGTAACACGAACTTGAGTCCATTCTTAGTCCATTTAGACTTAAAATGTATATGGGATAAAAACTTTTAAGTCCATGTATAGCCTTATTTAGCCATTTTTAGTCCATTCTTCCTTAAAGTCCGTGGACTTAAATCTAGGTAATTTTTTTTCTGAGTTCAGGAATCTTAGGATTTCCATAGGATCTCATTTTCCTTTGTTTCTCCCCCAGATGTTCGAACGCGAAATATCGCGCTGTAAGCTTCTAGAAGCCCGCGAGGAGGAGATCAAGCTGAAGAAGCGCCTGACCTCCATTTTTATCGAAGAGGAACGCAAGTCCAAGGAGAAGTTGGAGGCCAAGAAAAAGAAGGCCCAGGCGAAGAAGGAGCAAGAGCCGAAGGCGGAGGACGAGGCCACCATTTTCCTCAGGATGATCGAAAGCGATTTCGAGTTCAGCCAGGCTCTGCTGGAGTTCAACGAGACCATTGAAAGTATCGCCGCTAAGCGAGCCAAGCGGGTCTTCAACATGGAACACACCGTCTTTGAAACGGGTCAAGCCTAAAATGGGTATATTCTTATACTCTTCTTGTATTTTCTTTAACCCTATGTAATGTTGTAACTTTAATAAAGGCAATGTGAAGAAAAATATTTCTAGTGTTCCATTTGAAAACTACCTAAAAAGAATTTTTTTCAACCTACAAAATAGTCTTTTCTAGCGACTCAACGAAAAAGTAGCCCAACTTAATACTTCAAACAATAGTTCATAAAATCAACTACAGTCAACAAAAGTAAAATTGTTAGACACACTCTTGAAAATATATAAACAGTTCTTCGTTTTTTGTTCATTCCAGAATCTATAGATCTCAGATTTCCAGGATGGCGACGAGTTCCAAGGATATGGACCAGAGCACAAACTGGTACTCTAGCATCTACAACTCCATTAAACAGACGCCCCTCAATGTTACCCTTGCGATTATATCGACCATCGTCTTCTACAAGGTCGTCAGACTTACCAGGAGGTGTCGTCGTAATCGTGGGAATACAGAGGACAAGGAACTAGATCCCATTGATTTGGTGAAGGATACAAAGCTTCCAGCTCTACGGAAGGACTTTACGGTCACCGAACTTCGCGAGTACGACGGAACCCGCGAGGATGGTCGCATTCTGGTGGCCATCAACTTTCATATCTACGATGTTTCGCGATCTGTGCACTATTATGGAAGAGATGGCGTTTATCCGAACTATGCCGGACGGGATATTTCCCGAAACTTGATCAATTTTTCGGTGGATTTCAGCCAGAGCGAGGCATTCGATGATCTGAGTGACCTCTCGATCAGCCAAATGAATACCTTGCGGGAGTGGGATCAGCAGTACAGTGAGAAATACCCTTTGGTTGGAAGACTTTTGAGCCCAGGAGAGCTTGCCATTAACTATAACGACGAGGAAGATGTGGAGTCGGAGCCAGAGGATCAGCAAGTGCATGAATAAAAATGTCTTGCGTTTCAATTGTGTGAAATTATTGGCTGCATAAAAATAAAACTCAACGGAGTCATGTTATTCGACCAGAAAATATTTATTTTCACTGTTAAAAAATTTTTTTTTCGTTTCTTACATTTGGAATTTTTTGTATTTATTTATTTGTATTGTATTTATTTGGTATATTTATTAATATAATTAATATAAACTTAGCCTTTTAAATTTGCAGTTATTGTGCCGTTAAATATTTTAAAGTAAATAGTTAAAGCTTAGTCTAGAATCCCCCCTCTAAATTTAATTTTTGAAATTTGTGCGCCTAACAGCACGCAGTTAACAGCACCGCATCGTCACGTGGCGGTTTTTTTTAGGCCCTTCTCTGCGCCCGCGGCAGCCACACTAATTCGGCTCTGCTTTTCGTTTCCACTTCCGTTTTCTTTTCTTTTCGTGTTTCTACGCCAGCAAGATGAAGTATGTTATTGAAAAACGCCCAAAGGCCTGGTTAATCGAGTTATTTACCGCTGGCTAAGCCTGAATTGGCATCACTAAAGAATGCGCTTGCTAATGAGAGTGTTTCTTTTTGCAGAATTGGCTTGTGCGCATTCAGCGGGTACAAAATCTACCCCGGTCATGGCAAGACCATGGTTAAGGTCGATGGCAAGGTAAGAAGAAGAGAGGATCCCTTTGAAGCGAAAAAGTAATAATGCAATTGGATGCAAACCCTTTCAGTCCTTCACCTTCCTGGACAAGAAGTGCGAGCGCTCCTACCTGATGAAGCGCAATCCCCGCAAGGTTACGTGGACCGTGCTGTACCGCCGCAAGCACCGTAAGGGAATCGAGGAGGAGGCCTCCAAGAAGCGCACCCGCCGCACCCAGAAGTTCCAGCGCGCCATCGTCGGCGCCTCGCTGGCCGAGATCCTCGCCAAGCGCAACATGAAGCCCGAGGTGAGGAAGGCGCAGCGCGACCAGGCCATCAAGGTGGCCAAGGAGCAGAAGCGCGCCACCAAGGCCGCCAAGAAGGCAGCCGCCCCCGCGCCCGCCAAGAAGTCCGCGCCCAAGCAGAAGGCCCAAAAGGTCACCCAGAAGGCCGCTCCCCGCGTCGGAGGCAAGCGGTAAACACCTCTTCCTCCCCCCGCCGGTAGTGATGTGCTAAAGTTAGTCCAGGATTTAAGAAACCACAAGTGAATGGAAAATTAAAAACGAAAGCCGCGAATGCGAATTCGTGGTGACCAAAAAAAAAAAACCTTTCGCGTGTTTTTGTTTTCTCAAGCTTGGCTTATAAAGTGGAAAGAAAGTTGGTTGTGATATGATATATCACCCATTTAATGATCTAACATGGCATTTTGAACCAGACGCCAGCATATCTAATTATTATGAATCATTATATATCTATATTTCTAACCAATAATATAGATAGCTATAATTCCAGTTCAAAAAAAAATTACATAAATTCCGACGTCTAATTAGGATATTTACTGAGCTAAAAATAATGAATTCTTTGTTTTTTTTTTTTTGATTATCAAAGGTATTTTTTACATTTATCTATATTTCTAACCAAAAATATAGATCGCTAAAATTCCAGTTAAAAAAAACCGATTTCACATAAAATCCGAAGACTAATCAGTATATCTACTTGGCTAAAAATAATGAAATCTTTATTTCTTTTTTTTATTATCAGAGGTGTTTTCTATATTTCTAACCAATAATATAGATCGCTAAAATTCCAGTTAAAAAAAAAACAATTTCACATAAAATCCGTCTTCTAATCAGAATATTTACTTCCGAAAGTTTATATGCATAAAAAGTTAATAAGTTTTCAGAAATGTGCGAATTTTTAAAATTTCTTCATAGCACTGGCAAAAACTAAAGTTTATTGCTTTACCTAATGACATGGATAATATTTATTAACCACCATTAAACTCAATTTAGGGTTTGACATTAAAAGCAGCATAAACAGTTTTTAGTAAAAACTTTTTACTAATGGAATCCATTATTTTTTTATTTATCAAAAAGAAGTTAACAAAACTAGTCATCATTAAAATTAGCTCTTACAAAGTAGGAGAAGAAATAACATATCTCTTAATAGGGTTAACATCTTACAACGAACCCTAAATAAATTCAGTGCTGTATTTTTTGAGGCCAATAAAGTTGGTTAGCCGGCCGATTGCGTTGCCATGCACTTGAACGTAGGTCTGCAACGGATCATAGAGCTCCGTAACGGGCTGCTCATCACCGTCCTCGTCATCATCGTCCAGCAGGGATTCCACGTGCACCTTGTGCGGCCGCATCTCCATGAGTTGCACGCAACCGAGATCGTGCAGGAGCTCCAGCAAGAACATGATATCCACCGGCACCATGTGCGTGAAGCGCAGGAACAAGCTGTGCACCGTGCAGCCGATGCGAGAGATGCATTCGCTCAGCACTGCGCCCATCCAGCGATCGAGGACGCGTCGGTTGAGCGAAGCATTCACCCGGATCCACGGCTGCGGTCGCATGGCGATGGCATCCCTTGTGGCCTCCAGCGTGGAACTAGCGACCTCGGTGGCGGCCGCCTTTTTCGTAACCCTTTTGGGACGCTTGGCAGCAGAACCACTCGCCTCGTCGCTCTCACTTCCCGTGCTCTGCTGCTGCTGCTGCTCCATCAGTTTGATCTTCTTCTCGGGCATGGAGTTGCCCGCCTCCTGGGCCTCAAGTTTCCGCTTGTGACCAACGACGGCGAGAAGATTTCCCGGCGCCGCCGCCACCATGGGCTGCACCTTCTCACGCTCCAATCGCTTAATGTGAAACGTGTGCACCACCCAGTTGCGTATGTGGTTTTTGTGCACGTACATCACGCTAACTATGCCCACACGTTTGATGAGATTGTGGTCAGCGAGGAGATGTAAGGTTTCCAGAAGGAAGTCGCCCAGGGGAAAGATCCTACGCAACTCTAGTCCTTGTATACCCAGCGTATGCTGCTCAATGTGATTGAGTATGTCCTCCATGTGGCGCATGGCCCGGGCATCAAAGCCCCTTTCATGGAGTTTTGGTCGCAGGGTTTCAAAGGTGTTCTCCGTATACTGCCAGTAGGTTGTCCTGCGAGATAAGAAAACAAATCGATGAATTCTTAAGAAGGAAGTTTAAACAAATTTAAAACTAGGAATTATAAAACAAAATTACGAAAATACATTAAAAAAACAAGAAAGGAAGCTACCTTCGGCCAACCGAAGCTTATATACCCTTGCAGATAAAGGAATGCTCACTCGGTGCAGTTCCAGGGATTCCAGATTCAGCGTTTCTATTTATTTTAATTTAATTTTTAAGTAGTCAAGAATCAAAACGCCTACTTCCTACAAAGTTACAATGAATTTTCTTATATTTGTTTGAATATTCCTATGGGAGTTTAAGATATAGTGGTCCGATCCGGCTCGCTCCGACATTTGTACTACCTGCAATAGAAAGAAGACTTTCGGGAAAGTTTCATCGCGATAGCTTTAAAACTGAGAGACTAGTTCGCATAGAAACGGACAGACGGACAGACGGACATGGCTAGATAGACTCGGCTATTGGTGCTGATCAAGAATATATATACTTTATGTGGTCGGAAACGTCTCCTTCACTGCGTTTCAAACATCTGACTGAAATTATAATATCCTCTACAAGGGTATAATTATGTGATTAAATTAAATTAGGCATTGCTTCAGCTTTATTTTCTTTAAGAAGTCATTTAAAAAGGGCTGATATTTTCTATTTATTTAGAAAATGTTTAATTACCATTATTATTTTTACTGAAAATCAAGCCTTAGAATTGAATTTTTCAAATGTAATAAAATATTTTTCCATTAGCATTACTTTTGCCAGAAGTAATGAATTGTTAAAAAGTAATGCAATGCTATTCAATTGGCAATACTTTTTCAAAAAATAATGAACTGCATTTTTTGCTACTTGTTCAAAAATATTTAACTACATAGCATTATTTTTGTTAATGATAATGAAAAAGTTATGATAATGCTTATAGACACAACACTGTTATTTTCATTAAATTAAAGAATAAACATAAAATCAACTTCATGAAGTTACACCGCATAAAAGTGGAAATAAATATTTTTTAAAATATCCTTACAACATAAATCAATTATAATTGATTATAATAATTATAATTGATTATCATATCAAGAGGAATTACTAATGCAGACTCACTTTAACACCTTGTCCAGAACCTTCGTGCGCAGGCTGTCGATGGCCTGTTTGCCTTCTGGCTGCTCCACGACCTTCATGCCAATGGTGGGCAAATGCACCACGAACACATCCTGCGCCCTGGCTCGCTCCTCCTTGTTCAGCGCCGGTTCGTACTCCTGGACACGATCCGCCTCCCAGGCATGCGGCTCGTCGTCGAGCAGCTCGGCGCAAATCGAACGCCAATCGGTGAGCTTGTGCAGCGTTCGCTCTGCCAGCTGCCTGCCCAAATCCTTGAGATCCATGGCCTGCTGATTGCGACGCCAATAGGCCTCCAGTTGCTGGGCAAACGGAAGCAGATTCGAGGTGGTCACCGTGAAGGGCGTGTTCGCTGGATGCGATTCCAGCTGAAATTGCTGCGAGGGCAGGGCATCCGCAACCAATTGGCGGAGAATGGGACGCTGCTCGTGGGCTATACGCTCCACAGCGTTCAGATAGTTGCCGCTACGCATGATGCAGTTGGCAAAGGGACAGTCGCCCTGCTCCAAACGCGCCTGACTTATGGTGATCGAATCGCCCAAGGCATCCAGCGAACAGAAGAAGTGCATGCTGCGCAACTGCAGTTTGGAGAGCTGATTGTAGGCACTGCTGGGCAGTCGGAAGCTGAGATTAGCGGGATGGAAGCGAACGCGCGACGCCTGGCGAGCACTGCACTCGCCCTCCAGCCGCTTGGAGTACTCGGTCTGCGGAGCGTTGTCAAAGATGCAGCTGTAGTGATCGAGAATGCGATCCGAGTGACAGCCACTCTGGCGGCTCATAGTAGAGGTATCCACGGTGAGGATATTTGCAGGAAGCTGCAGTGAAATGCTCAACCTATTCTCCGCCAGCCACTCGCCCATCACCAGAAGTTGTGCGAAATGCGGCGAGGTCAAGTGATGTTCCTGTTCCTTGCGCAACTTCTGATCCAGCGCAAAGTAGCCGTCGTAGAGGAAGTGCGTCAGCTTGGTGTAGGTCAGCCGGTACTTGTATTTGGAGCTGAGCAAGTGGCCGGGTCCGGTGATCTGACGACTGGCCGCCGACTGGATGTTGCGACGCTTCACCGCCACCACCAGCGAATCCGCTCGAGCCTTGTTAAACGCCGCGTTTAGCGTCTCCTCGGAAAAATGCTTGTAGATCTCGAACGTTTGCAGGTTCAGCAGCGTCTTGTCCTTGGCACAGCAGATGTTGCTGTGCAGCACGCCGTGGGCCACGGCCACCTGGAGATCCGATTCGGTGGCTGGGTCCTGGAAGAGCAGCTGCTGCTGCTCGTGTGCCGAGCGACACAGTTGGTTGGCAAAGGAGTCCAGGGAGTCGGGTAGTAAAAACTGTCTGCTAACAGAACCTTGCTGGGGGGTAAATCGAAGTAAAGATTAGTTATAAATAGACCTCGGATTTTGCATATTTGCATATTTTTATAGGATAAAGATAGATCAATTCCCAAAACACCAAAGTTCGTTTCAATAAAAATATAGTTTAAAATTAATGGCATATTTTTTTTGTTGCATATTTGCATAAAATGCATATCCATAAAATATGCAAAATATATGCAAAATATAAAATAAAATAAATAAACAACATAATTTACCCGAAAAAAACTGTTTGTTCCTTTTCGTCATTTCTGAGATATCTAATTTTTTCCCAAATTTAAGGAAACCCTATTATATATAGGCGAGAAGGGGGCAAAAATAGTTTTTTGGCCCTATCGGCCAAACTGCTCATTTAAATTGCTCGCCATGTTTACTGAAGGTTCCTTAGAATAACAGAGGGCTACATTAAACATTTGAGGCTCCAGTTGTTCGCATATATTTTGCACATTTTATGCATATATTTTGCATATTTTCGATATGCATCCGAATTTAATACATTTGAAAAATAAGACACCTACCTAGAAGTTTTAATAAAAATCGGACCAAAAATGGACAAATATGCCAAATCCGAGGTCTAGTTATAAATCAGTTTTAAATGTAAAATTTAGTTTTACTAACCGACTTGGCGATCATCCGTTGTAATTTAGCCATCATCAGGGCAAAGTGAGTCATCAGCGCGGCCTGGAATTCTGTCTTGCTGGGATAATCCCGCTTTAGCTGGCTGAGGAAACGATCGTTATAAACCGTGGTGAACTGTGGCTGCGTCTGCATCGCGTAGATCCAACTGGGCACGTCCGGAATGTCGCGCTTCATCTTCACCATGAACTGAACGCGTCGCACGCACGCCTGGGTGGTCTTGTTGCAGATGCCCAGCCAGCGGCGAATCAGATCGCGACAGACGACGGCCAAGTCGCAGAGGGCGAGGGTAACAGTGGGTGCATCGATGAACATGTAGACGGCACGGCCCATCTTGAGCAGGCGATCCTCCTCGGGAGCCCATTTGACGCGCAATGTGCGCATATTTCGCAGGGCATCTCGATCGATGTCGTCGCGCGGACCGGACTTCTTCACAGTCTTCCCGGTGGAAGCCTCACGCGATTTCCGTACTCCCACACGGGGTCCAATTTTCAATCGCGTAATTACCGCCCGTTTTCGCACTGGCTTCTTAGTCCTTTCCCTCGCTGCCATCGATTTTCCACCATTCTGGCGCTGCACCCACGACCAGTGGCGGAACTGGTGGGCAAATAGATTGGAGCCCAGTCCAGCGGCGCCCAGATGATCGCCAGGAACCGCTCCAGTGTCCAGCTCCACAGCCTGCTGGAAGTCAACGGTGGGCTGGAAGACTAGCACCTTTAGGCGCGCCGGAAGCTTCCGCTGAGTGCTCAAAGACTTCCGGTAACCCAGCTTTGTGTAGATGCAGATGTGCTGCAGCTTGGCCCAATAGTTGGCGAGCTGCTCCACGCTGGAGAACTCAAAGTTGAGCTGTATGTACGTGCGATCGGCGCTGACTTGCATGTAATTGTGCTCGGTGCTCGATGTGGTGTCCAGCAGCCTGGTGCGTTGGTTCATGTACACCCAGCGGTGCAGGGAGTCGCGACCCAGCTTCTGCTCGCTGACCTGGAAAAGATTACATTAAGGGGGGAGATACATATATATAGAACTGTTATTTATTTAAGTTGTTTGTGATTTTTTTTTAACCAATAAGGAATTGCGCTGGGATTTCGTAACTTGGCATGTTGATTACATTGTTCTTATATAATTTTAACCAATTTTTATTTTGTTTTTATCCTTCTAAATGGCAGCCGTGGGATTTTTTTTGTCAGGCTATTATAAAAAAAAAGTAGGCCAGCTGCGGATCGTCCACAGATCGCTGTGTGGATTTGATTTTTATGAAAGCAAGTTTATTTTGATTGGAAATAATGTAGAAACTGTCTGAACCTAACTTACATAGAATATCTCAAAAACTATGGTAGTGGCACTATTTCAAAGTCAAAAATCTATTTTTTTTCATCATTTTCTTGTTGTTTTTGGCAATCAAAAAGTACTCAAACGTACAAATTTCTACGTTAATTTTATTACAAACATTTCTGTAAAAGCAGCATGATGATCGAGGCAATACTTTTTGAGATACACGAAAAGTGATTTCGAGTAAAATATATTTAATGTAATGAAGTATATCTACTGCACAAGGAAGATGGGTGCCGTCATCCTGGTATAAGTTCCAAAATAGGTCGAGTTTCTTCTTGAAACTTTCATGACACATTTTTAAAGAGCTATTCTACCAATTCAGGTAATAAAAAAAATTTAATTTTTATTTTTTCTATATGTATTTCCCCCTTAAAGGTTGATGAAATGGAAGTATGTAAATTGCCTCACCTGAATTAAACCCATGTTGTTCAGCAAGCGCAAAGTGCCCACGTACAGCTTCTGCAACTTTAACCTCGGCACAATGGACTCAAAGTTGAGCTGGGAAAGCAGGTAGTGCTGGCGAATGGGATGCTGAAGCTGCAGACGCAGCTCGTCGTTGGATTCGCGTTCTATGCGACAGATGCGCAGAAATAAAGAGAGCGGCATTCGGTCCATGGCGTCCATGAAGTAGAGCCAACCAGGTGGCTTGTCCTCGTAGCGAGGCAGCGGTGGTATAAAGGTGCGCCAGCCTATGTCCTCGGTGAAGGGTTGGACCTTTATCTCCTCGGCCTGCCACTCGTCAAAGAACTGACGTGGTTGCAGCGCCGGCTCCGACTTTTGCCACTGCTGCACGAGCTCAGGGGTCATCGAAAGAGGCTTCTGATTGAGGGGCAACTCGTGGTGAAGGTAGAAGAGGAACTCGTGCAACGTTCTGGCCAAGAGAAGTTTGGGTGCCTGTGTTTTGAACACCACACTGGGTCGCTCGGGCACCAGTTTGCGGCGGGCCATCATCTCCTTGCGCTCCTTGGGCGGCAGCTGGGATGGCCGGCTTATCCGCTCCTCGGTGATCAAGTGGAAGTTGCTCTTCAGCTTGACGATCTCGCGCTTCATGACCGCGTGATCCAGACCGATTTTCGGATGGGCAGCAAAGCGATAGACTCTTACTCGCTGATTGTAGTGGAGCGTGGTCTCGTACACATTTATAATACGATTCTCCACCATGGGAAGGAGCAGGCGCATCAAGGAGCGCCGGCAGAGAACGTCCTTAAAACCAGCCTGGTGTTCCGTTTCCTGAATGGTTCTCAGTATCCGGGGCAGCGGCACCAGGCAGTTCTGGTCGATCTGGCGTACAATCATTTTCTGGCGGTTAATCAGACGCTGTGTTTGGTTGCCCAGTCGGGTCTTCTTGATTTTGAACGCCACGGGTCGAGCATTTACCACGATTTCAGGCATATCCTTCAGCAAAACCTCAGTGCTTTCGGTGATGTTCTAGGGATAACATATGTTACTTTGATATAGGGTTTTTTAAGTCATTAAGTTAACTTACTGGCTCCTCCTTGCACTTGATCTCCAGCTCCTTCTTCTTGACCTCCTCTTCCTTCGCCAGGTCTCCCAAATGCTCGACGGCCACGAAGCGGAATTGCCGGCTCTTGCCCACCTGTTCCGAGTACTCCTGGATCAGGCCATTCTTCTTTGCTTTCTTGACAAAATGCCGCATTGAGGTGGCATTGATGCCCGTGTAGTGGCACAATTCGTTGCTGTTGAGGCCACGCTTGCCGAATCGCGAGACGGCGCGGTAAACCTCCTCCTCCGGCGGCATATCCAGGTAGCAGTGTCCTAAATCCAAGAATTCAGACACAGGACTCTCCTCGCCGTCCTCGTTTTTATAGAGGTCCTTCAATTGCATCTCAGGATTTCGCAGCTGTATCACGGTAACCTTTCGTGTGGTTGATTTGGACTGCTTTCCCGACTTGGTAAGCGATGGGAACTGCCTTTCCACCTGCGTGGTCTCGAAGAACTTGCGAAAGGCGTGGGTGACGAGCAGTTTCTTGGTCTTGAAATTGGTGGGTCGGCCCAGCAGCTCGGTTATTTCGGTCACCGGCACTTGGCGGTTAGTGGTCCGTATTATAGCCATATATAGCTTCTCGAGGTTCTCCTGCGAGTGATTCTTGTAGATCCGATAGAAGCGCGGCAGCATCAGCAGCGAAGAGGCCAAAAAGCGACCCTTGTTGATTTCGCTGTAGTTCTGCGAGACGATTAGCTGCAGGTTAATCAGCTTATTTCTGAAAGTAATAATAATAATGGGATAGTTAGTTCGAATTTATGGTTTCTGAGCTGCAACCCACTTGATGTAGAAGAGAATTCCCGTGTCCTTGCTGTAATTAATCAGCGACCAAGGTCCTGTTGTGGTGTGTCCATTGTAGCGCGACCTTCCGATGGCCTCCAGGAAGATGTAGTTGGGCAGCGGCAGGTTCTTGGGCATCATCAGGTTATCCGGGGTGAGTGCGGTCTCTCGAAGTTCCTGCGAGGCCACCACTACCAGCCGGCCAGCCCACTTTTCGCTGGCTTCCTCGACACTGAGAGCCTGCAGATCGCTGGAAGGAATCAACTTGCGGGTCTTGAAGTCGTTGCAGTTGCCCTTGATGTGACCCTCTTGCACGTAAGCGGGTGGATACAGCATGTAGGGACACTGCTCCGGCACCACCGGCAATCCCAGCTGCTCGTCCATGTCGTTGCGACGATCATAGTGGGGCATCAGTGGTCGCTCCGCCGGCAATTCAAAGAACTCGATCTTGTGCGCGGGAGTCCGGAGCAGCAGGGTCCACGCCTGCTCCCGAATTCGATCGGGCAAAGGACAAGGAGCAAACTCCAGGCGCCTGGCCAGCAGTTCCCAGAGATCTGTGGAGGACCATGGGGATTACTTGGTTTGCAAGCAAAAAAGACGTGGGAATAACTTACAGGGCAATGTCACCCCCTCCAAGCCCTCCAGAGCCACCTCATCGTAGATGGCGTTGATCCAGGATCCGCCGGAACTTGCGTTCATGCTTAATAACTTGTATTAACTCTAATCAAAGCGACCAAAACAAATTGTTTAGATTTTGTGAGGTAGAGTTGTCAACCGCTGCAAAGTTCGCCCACGCACAAAAAACAACTGTTGCTGATTAGTTAGTATACTCTGTTTTTCTATTGTAAATTAAAAACCAGTTAAATTATAATTTATTTAAGTTAACCTACATTAAACAGCAATTCTTTTTATAAACTGAGGCTTATTTCTTTTGCTTTGAAACTTCTTAGAGTTGCCAACGACAGCCAAGTTATCGATTACTGTAGGCAATCGAGAGCGCATCTCTAGACATGCTCCAAAAACAGCTGTTGCTAATCGTAAATAGACGCTGGTTTTCCGCTCGTCCTACCTGATTTACCAGTTAAAACCTATTATTTGGCCACAAAATGTCTTCTGCCATATATTTGGAGAACTATCTGGATGGTAGACCTTAAGTTGCACCAGAGAACCACAAGGAAATTTCTAATACTCACCTTTAATCTAACAAACAGGTTTGGAGAGTCTGCCCACCGAGCTGGAGCGAAACTTTAAGCTGATGCGAAAACTGGATGATCGGGCACAGACGGCCATGAAGAGCATCGACAGCCATGCCAAGGACTTTATGCGAAAGCTGGGCGAGAACGGGGCCATGAGCGATGAGGAGCGGAAGGAGCGCCAGGAGGACATTAAGGCGCTGTTCGGAAAGGCCAAGGAATACAGCGACGACAAGGTGCAGCTGGCCATCCAAACCTACGAGCTGGTGGACAAGCAGATCCGGCGGCTGGACAACGATCTGGCCCGCTTCGAGGGCGAGATCCAGGAGAAGGCCTCCTCCACGCGCGCCAAATCCGAGGAAGTGGTGGCCAAGAGTATGTATCTTGTATCCTTGTTTCCATAAGCTAACCTTTATAACCTTTTTCTAGAAGGCCGCAAAAAGACCAAGGATAGCAAAACCACGGGCAAAAAGAAAAAGTCCGCCTCCTCGGACGAGGAAACTGGGCGTGGCAATAACAACCAGAGCAACGCCAATTCCAGCCTCAATTCAAGCAGCAATGCCGGTCAAGGTAGCAAAAAGAAAAAGTCCAAGGTAAATCAAGAAAAAGAAACTCGCAAGGGGGGCGCACAAAAGGTAATCCATCCACATTCTCATCTAAACATTGTTAGAATCCTAGTTTATTTACTATGTACTCCCCAGTTTTGGTTGGCCTGATTTGTAGTTTATCCTTATAGATATCCCGCATTGTCTTCATACTATCGTTTGCATTTCCATTTATAAATCTGCATGGCTCTACCATCCGAAAAGCCCTTTTTATTAATTTATTTATCATCTCAACTTAGAAAACCGTCGAAGTGGATGATTCGGAGAAGGAATCAAGCCACACGGCCGCCACTCATCCTAGCGATGTTATGGATATGCCTGTGGACCCCAACGAACCCACTTATTGCCTGTGCCACCAAGTGTCCTATGGCGAAATGATTGGCTGCGACAATCCCGATGTGAGTATCCGTTTTCTAACTACTCAGTGGTCAGTAGTAATGGTTTTTTCCAATCACTTTTCAGTGCCCCATCGAGTGGTTCCACTTCGCCTGCGTTGGCCTCACCACAAAGCCAAAAGGCAAGTGGTTCTGCCCCAAATGTACGCAGGATCGAAAGAAAAAATAGACGCAATTCCCTATGATAGCTTAGAATATTAATAGATTAAGTACTAACTTACTAATTTAAATAAAGCTTCGACATGTCAATAGTGTCACTACTTTATTTCTCCATTTATATTAATATTTAAATATTTTAGGGGTTCGAAACTAAATAGCAAGATTTAATATTTTTGTGCTGTCAAAATTCCCCAACACTTTTTTAAATCACGATTTGTATTGTTTTTTAATAAATTAAATAAATTAAAACACATAGATTTCAGCGTAGTGCACATTCATCTTCAAAATCTATGGCTTCGTCACCCTTTTCAATATTTTTCTGACAAACAAGGGAACATTTTTCCAATAAATATGCGTTTATACGCACGTTTATACGTTTTCCAGCTCTGGCTAAAGTCAAAAATTCTGATAACCACCCGATTAAATGAAAAGTCAACTTGAGTAGCGATTACCGAAATACCGAATATATTCATAAGCCTTATCACCTCCGCAGACCAACCACGCATCTATCATCTTAAGCCTAGTTAGCTAGATTCACTGGATTTATTTCTCTTATTTTTTTGCGGCTTTTGCTCTTTGGAGTTAGTTTTACACAATTTCAAAGCGACTATTATTCCAATATATTGATTACACACTTGTCTGTATATGCAAGTGTACATATGTACGTTGTTAAGTGTATATGAACATTTACATATATAGTGAATAAGGTCAACTGTCTAATCGAAGGAATAGGTGAAAGAAAACGAAGAACATAATATCGCCATTGCTGTGGGCCAAAACTGGTGCTTATACAATTATCCCGGAAAGTAGCTATTTGGTTCGGTTAAGGGTATTTCGAATCCATATAATCGCTTGCGCCAAAATCCTCGTGGTGTGCGTTCAGATTTTGCTATGCAGTTGGCTGGCTGCCCCAACTACTACTTCTTGGTCATGATCTTCAAGTACTCGAGGGCATTCTGGGCGGCATGCTTCTGGGCATCGGCGGCCGTGGGACCGCTTCCATGGCAAACACCCACGGGCAGCGTCGAGAGCTGAACGAGGCACTGGAACTGGCCCGAGAAGGTCTTCTCCTCGATGTCCACGTAGGTCACCTCGAACTGGTTCTCGGTCGCGATCTCGCCCAGAAGTTTGATGTAGTCGATCTTGGTGCTCTTTAGGCAAGTCTTCTGGAAACGAAACATATGGAACCGCATTAGGAGAGTTGCCAAATAAATTTTACTCTTTTATAAAGGGGTAACTTTATACATGGTACTTTTCAGGAGTACAATTTCAAAATAAATTTAAAAAAAAACCGCAACATTAAACAATAATGTACAATATTGGAAGGGACCGTCTTAAGAAAAGGAAAATAACCTTATAAAAGTCGACTTATTTTGAAGGTAAATTTTAATTTACTATTAAATTTGTATAAATAAGAGTTGTGTACCATTTCCAATTAATAAATTAAATAAGAGGCATGTTTTGATATTTCCTTTAGCCAATATATTAACTTATGTTAAAATAATGATTAAATGCAATATGTTTTAAGCTCCTGATGGGGTCCAGAATATTAGGACATTAAGGACAATGCGAAATTAAAACTTTAATTTGATAAGCTAAACTTTTTTCTGTAAATTTAGTTTTGAATTTTGCAAATATCCCAGATTTTGTACATTTTAATTTGTATGTAATTTGTAAAATTTAATATGAGATTTATTGACAGTGAAATTTACCTGTAACTTGAGCAGTTTTTTGCCCGTCGCATTTTTGAGGGTCTTATGGAACTGGGATACTTTGTTACTGTGCTGCGTAGTCAGTGTCGGCACAGAGATATCTTTCAATTCACCATAATAATTTTCGCTACTGCGGGGCTGTAAATAAGAGCGCAAAGTTGTTGGTTTCTTTTCTCCGTTGTATTTTGCACACAATCGAAATCACAATCACCCACGCCAATGGTGAGTTGAAACATATCGCTTTATTGTGGATTAGGATGCTCTTAAAGGTCGAACTCTAAATACAATTAGTTCCAAATATAGATACTATCACAGATCAGTAAAGAAAGAAAACAGAGTATGGAAAAGCAGCCAACCAAATAACCACATGAATAAGTCAACGAATAAAAACAAGGTTTGGACATTTTGACAATATTTGTATAATTGATTTTGAATTACTAATAATAAAAACTAAAACCATAATCAATGTATATTTGTACATTTTATCAGGGCTGTTTCAGTATTAGAACTCTAGGCTATGTCAAAAATAAAAGAGGTTAGGTAAGTCTACAATTGGATTAAACACCACTCAAACTATTCATTCCCAATTTGTTGAAACTATGTAAAAATTTGGAAAGATATAAACAATTTGAGTAATAATAATAGGAACGTATCCGATTTGGAATTTTCTAAATTTTCTAAACATTTAATAATAGACTAAAAACTTTAAAGTGTAGAGTGAGTGGTGTTTTTAGGAGTTAAGGGAATTTTAGACAATGATTTACATGTTAGGAGGATATTATTTGGTGTGGGTATCATATATTTAAAATATTGCAATTTGTATAAAGCTTGGAAACAGACATAAAACACAATAGTGAAGTCTTCTACAGAAATATTCTAACTAAAGACTGTCTGCAACCAATTAAATTGAATCAGTCAGTCATTGGAAGCATGCTCGTGTTAAATCTCAAGCAACTGAGTTAAATCTCAAGCAACTTAAAGTCTTCAGAGATTCGCACATATCGAGCGCTGTCTTGGATGATGGTGGTACTCACTTCGCCCTCCAACTCGCCGCAGATGCTGTCGCTGATCTTGGCCGAATCGATGGGCGTCTCCTGCAGCCGCATCCACATGCGATGGGCGGCCAGCCGCTTGGCTATCTTCTTGCTCTTGCCCTTGCCCATCTCCCGGTAGTTGAGGATCGAGCAGGCGATCGTGAAGAGCCGCTCGTGGGGCAGGCCCACTTCCGTTTCCGTTTCGTACGACGGTGGCGGCCAACGCCGCTGCATGCACATCTCCTGCAGCCAGCCAATGGGATTGCCCACGATCTTGTCGCCGGCACTGCAAGGGGATCACAATCATTAAAGGATTAGGATTAGATCCTAGGCACCACTCACTCTCCTCCGCCGGTGGCATTGGCATTGCCGTCTCCTCCGCTTCCGGCGACCGTGAGCCCAGTCACCGACGGACCGGCGGAGCTGCTGCTCGGCGATTCCGGCAGCTGCGCGCCGATCAGCTTGTCGATGAGCGCACGGGCCGCCGCATGCTTGGCCTCCTTCTTCGAGCGACCCGCACCCATGGCCGTGAACGGAGTGTCCTTGTCCTTGAAGGACACCCGAAACCGGAAGGTCGGCTCGTGAATGGCGCCCTCGATCTGGACGAGCTCATAGCCCGGCGTAATGCCGCGCCGGCTGAGCAGCTCCTGCAGAATGCTGACGGGCGTCTTCATGGCCAGTCCATTGGCGTCCGTCTCGCTGACGAACTTCAGAGCCTCGTCGCTGGGCATGATTCCCATGGCGCCCGGTACGCCGGAGCAACCAACCGCGGGATCAACACCCATCTCGGACAGCTGCAGCTGGCCCGGCTGAGGCAGCTGGGCCCCCACCACCTGGGGCATCTTCTCCTTCTTCACCTTCACCGGTCGCTGCCCCCCCAGCGGAGGAGCACCCTTGACCGGACTTCCGCCGGCTACGTTGCCATTGCCCAGGTTGCCGCCAAGGTTCTCATACTGCCGACGCGGAGCAAATCCCGTCTGGACGGGATTCGGGGGCAACTGCTGCTGCTGCTGCTGCTGTTGGATGTGCAGGTTCTGCAGCTGCTGCGGCAGGCTGTGCCCGTGGAAGTTCTCCTGGTCCATGGTGTCTCTGTTTTTCACGGTTTTCGGGAGGACTCGGTGTGTATCTGCTTGAGTTTTGGGGGTAATATGTGGCTGAAAAATCGATACATCACCGGACGGGTGGAAAACTCTCGAAAACCACTACCGCCGATGCCCAAGGACTACTCACGGTTGATTTGCGGTTTTATACTGTTTTTTATTTAATAATAATTTATTAATGGTTAGTTAATAATTCATTCTTAAATAAAAAATACAGCAAAATCCAGACGCACACACGAATATGAGATGTTTGTATGTATACCGACGATCGTGGTTGCCAGACTCTTTTCGGGTTGCCTACTCATTTGCTGTGGTTCTATTCCCACCCCCAAAACCCCGACTTATAACACTAGTTTACAACTTTTAGTTTTTTTTCGAAATAATCCTAGATACCAATTTTTTTTGTTTAGTTTTGAGTTGCTAATCACCCTGAACAAATTAAAAAAAAATTTTTAAAACCGTTCTGAAGATATTTAAAATCAAGATTTTCGCCCCTTTTTTTGACATATTAACAAACTATAAGTATTTACTGTACATTAGGGAGTATAAAGTAACTTTAAGTACTTAAATGTATTTTGTTCATATGTCAAAGAGCAATCTAACAAAAGCAGGGTTCCTGCCTTTAAAAAACATTTTTTGGAAATGGGTTGTTAAACTGAAAAATTCATATCTCCTAGAATTTGCACTCCATTTGCCAATTTATTTATTTTATTTATTTATTTGTTTTATCCCGATGCGACAAGACTAGGTCTTATAAATTATTACAAAGGTCACAAATATTTGAACTTAACAAACAAAAAGGCCTTTAGATCTAAAAGCTAAAAATAATTTATACATTTTTATTTGTATTTTTTTTAATTAAATGAAAACTAGCTATAACACAAAAAACGCCAGAAATAAAACTTTTTTTGAACTTTCCCATGTTGCATCTCCGTTAATTGCGGCCCTTCTGTCTTCTGGTACATGGCACATGGAACATGGCACATGGCACATGGAACATGGAACATGGAACATGGCACATGGAACATGGCACATGGAACATGGCACATGGAACATGGAACATGGAACATGGAACATGGAACATGGAACATGGCACATGGAACATGGAACATGGCACATGGAACATGGAACATGGAACATGGAACATGGAACATGGCACATGGAACATGGCACATGGAACATGGAACATGGCACATGGAACATGGCACATGGCACATGGAACATGGCACATGGAACATGGAACATGGCACATGGAACATGGAACATGGAACATGGCACATGGAACATGGAACATGGAACATGGCACATGGCACATGGAACATGGAACATGGCACATGGCACATGGAACATGGAACATGGCACATGGCACATGGAACATGGAACATGGAACATGGAACAGGGCACATGGAACATGGAACATGGCACATGGCACATGGCACATGGCACATGGAACATGGAACATGGCACATGGAACATGGCACATGGAACATGGCACATGGAACATGGAACATGGCACATGGAACATGGAACAGGGCACATGGAACATGGAACATGGCACATGGCACATGGCACATGGCACATGGCACATGGAACATGGAACATGGAACATGGCACATGGCACATGGAACATGGAACATGGAACATGGCACATGGAACATGGAACATGGCACATGGAACATGGAACATGGCACATGGAACATGGAACATGGAACATGGCACATGGAACATGGAACATGGCACATGGAACATGGAAAATGGAACATGGAACATGGCACATGGAACATGGAACATGGAACATGGCACATGGAACATGGAACATGGCACATGGAACATGGCACATGGAACATGGCACATGGCACATGGCACATGGAACATGGAACATGGAACATGGAACATGGCACATGGAACATGGCACATGGAACATGGAACATGGCACATGGAACATGGCACATGGAACATGGAACATGGCACATGGAACATGGAACATGGAACATGGAACATGGCACATGGAACATGGCACATGGAACATGGCACATGGAACATGGCACATGGAACATGGCACATGGAACATGGAACATGGCACATGGAACATGGCACATGGAACATGGAACATGGCACATGGAACATGGAACATGGAACATGGAACATGGAACATGGAACATGGAACATGGCACATGGAACATGGAACATGGCACATGGAACATGGCACATGGCACATGGCACATGGAACATGGCACATGGAACATGGCACATGGAACATGGAACATGGAACATGGAACATGGCACATGGCACATGGAACATGGAACATGGCACATGGAACATGGAACATGGCACATGGAACATGGAACATGGAACATGGCACATGGAACATGGAACATGGCACATGGAACATGGCACATGGAACATGGCACATGGAACATGGCACATGGAACATGGCACATGGAACATGGCACATGGAACATGGAACATGGAACATGGAACATGGAACATGGAACATGGAACATGGCACATGGAACATGGAACATGGCACATGGAACATGGCACATGGCACATGGCACATGGAACATGGCACATGGAACATGGCACATGGAACATGGAACATGGAACATGGAACATGGAACATGGCACATGGAACATGGAACATGGCACATGGAACATGGAACATGGCACATGGAACATGGAACATGGAACATGGAACATGGCACATGGCACATGGAACATGGCACATGGAACATGGAACATGGAACATGGAACATGGCACATGGCACATGGAACATGGCACATGGCACATGGAACATGGAACATGGAACATGGCACATGGAACATGGAACATGGCACATGGAACATGGAACATGGAACATGGCACATGGAACATGGAACATGGAACATGGAACATGGAAATAAATGTATTTTGTTCATATGTCAAAGAGCAATCTAACAAAAGCAGGGTTCCTGCCTTTAAAAAACATTTTTTGGAAATGGGTTGTTAAACTGAAAAATTCATATCTCCTAGAATTTGCACTCCATTTGCCAATTTATTTATTTTATTTATTTATTTGTTTTATCCCGATGCGACAAGACTAGGTCTTATAAATTATTACAACGGTCACAAATATTTGAACTTAACAAACAAAAAGGCCTTTAGATCTAAAAGCTAAAAATAATTTATACATTTTTATTTGTATTTTTTTTAATTAAATGAAAACTAGCTATAACACAAAAAACGCCAGAAATAAAACTTTTTTTGAACTTTCCCATGTTGCATCTCCGTTAATTGCGGCCCTTCTGTCTTCTGGTACATGGCACATGGAACATGGCACATGGCACATGGAACATGGAACATGGAACATGGCACATGGAACATGGCACATGGAACATGGCACATGGAACATGGCACATGGAACATGGAACATGGAACATGGCACATGGAACATGGAACATGGCACATGGAACATGGCACATGGAACATGGCACATGGCACATGGCACATGGAACATGGCACATGGCACATGGCACATGGAACATGGCACATGGAACATGGCACATGGAACATGGCACATGGAACATGGCACATGGCACATGGCACATGGAACATGGCACATGGAACATGGAACATGGCACATGGAACATGGCACATGGAACATGGCACATGGCACATGGCACATGGCACATGGAACATGGCACATGGAACATGGCACATGGAACATGGCACATGGAACATAGCACATGGAACATGGCACATGGAACATGGCACATGGAACATGGCACATGGAACATGGAACATGGAACATGGCACATGGAACATGGAACATGGAACATGGAACATGGCACATGGAACATGGAACATGGAACATGGAACATGGAACATGGCACATGGAACATGGAACATGGAACATGGAACATGGAACATGGCACATGGAACATGGAACATGGAACATGGCACATGGAACATGGAACATGGCACATGGAACATGGAACATGGAACATGGCACATGGAACATGGAACATGGAACATGGCACATGGAACATGGAACATGGAACATGGAACATGGCACATGGAACATGGAACATGGAACATGGCACATGGAACATGGAACATGGCACATGGAACATGGAACATGGAACATGGAACATGGAACATGGAACATGGAACATGGAACATGGAACATGGAACATGGAACATGGAACATGGAACATGGCACATGGAACATGGAACATGGCACATGGAACATGGAACATGGAACATGGCACATGGAACATGGCACATGGAACATGGCACATGGAACATGGAACATGGAACATGGAACATGGCACATGGAACATGGAACATGGAACATGGAACATGGAACATGGAACATGGAACATGGAACATGGAACATGGCACATGGAACATGGAAATTGGAACATGGAACATGGAACATGGAACATGGCACATAGAACATGGAACATGGAACATGGCACATGGAACATGGAACATGGAACATGGAACATGGAACATGGAACATGGCACATGGAACATGGAACATGGCACATGGCACATGGCACATGGAACATGGAACATGGAACATGGAACATGGAACATGGAACATGGAACATGGAACATGGAACATGGAACATGGAACATGGAACATGGAACATGGAACATGGAACATGGAACATGGAACATGGCACATGGCACATGGCACATGGCACATGGAACATGGAACATGGCACATGGAACATGGAACATGGAACATGGCACATGGCACATGGAACATGGAACATGGCACATGGAACATGGAACATGGCACATGGAACATGGAACATGGCACATGGAACATGGCACATGGAACATGGCACATGGAACATGGAACATGGAACATGGAACATGGCACATGGCACATGGAACATGGCACATGGAACATGGAACATGGAACATGGCACATGGAACATGGAACATGGAACATGGCACATGGAACATGGAACATGGAACATGGCACATGGAACATGGCACATGGAACATGGCACATGGAACATGGAACATGGAACATGGAACATGGCACATGGAACATGGAACATGGAACATGGCACATGGCACATGGAACATGGAACATGGCACATGGAACATGGAACATGGCACATGGAACATGGAACATGGCACATGGAACATGGCACATGGAACATGGCACATGGAACATGGAACATGGAACATGGAACATGGAACATGGCACATGGAACATGGCACATGGAACATGGAACATGGAACATGGAACATGGAACATGGAACATGGAACATGGAACATGGAACATGGCACATGGAAC